CTTTTAAAATGGTTTTCTTCAGATATCTCCGTCGCCTTTAGACATTTAAATGAAATTTGACATGGAGGGAGGAGTTTTTTAGAGTGACCGAATGGGCTAATTTTTTTTTCATCTAAAGTGTATAGAGGGCTCAGAGCCTTTTGTTTTTGTCATATTTTTTTGATCGGTAGAAGTATTGTGTAAATTAATGAAGCCTCAATTTATTTACTGTAAAAAATTATACTTGTCGTAAAAGCTAAAATGCACCAGAGAAAAATTTCGATTTTTAACTACAGTTCTCAGTTTAACGGACAACCGAGTATGTACTTGGGAAACCAATTAAACTTCACTCTTTGATAAATCTGCAGCTGAATTAAATTTGTTGTGCGATTTAGACCAACCTTTTTTAAAAGAACAAAATTGCGCTGTACACGTAATGTTATTGCCCTTCAGATGAATTTGTACCGTTTTAAAAGGCAGATAGTTCAAGGGAAACGCATCGCGTGAAACGAATCAAGTCGAAAGGACCGGCATTAGTTGGGCAGTAATCGTGGAGGGAAAATAACGATTACTGTTGCATAAAGCTTTGTGAATTAAAGGTAATCCCTTTGTTGTGAACGGGCTGCAGGCTCACGGATGGATACTCTGTATCTTCAAAGGTATAGTAACCTACATGGCCAAAATATCGATCGAAGTTGGGCGTGGTTTAAAGATTGCGATTTGGCCTAAATATTATGATCAATCACACATAGACGGGCCGGTGACACCGCAGGTCGGTGAAGGGTGTCGCTTGCAGTTAATTTGAGCAACCACCGAAGAAGTTTTGATAGTCGCGCCTCCTAAGCGTTTCTGTTGACAACCGGTTTTGGCGCTGATGTGGAATAATGCTGTAGCGAAACTATGGGTGGGCGTGGAGCTAAATGCACGGTGTAACATACCAGTCGTGCGAAGCGGGTCTCTTACCAGGACAGTAAAGTGCCGGATCCATAACAAATCGGAATCGGTGGTTTAATTGGGGGGATGACGGTTAAACCATACTCTCTTTTCATTTTTTCACTTGCATTGCGGATGCTGGGCGAGCGCGGCCGGGTTTTTAACACATGGAAACTTAGTCACTTAAACATGGTTATTTAAATTTCGTGTCGCGGTGTTTTTCTTACAACCTCACCCCGTTATTCATCGCCGGCTAACAAACTCTAAGCTGGATATGCCGGCGTCTGGATGTCTATTGTGGAACGCCATCCAGCGTGCGTTGTATCAACTAACCGCCAAAATCCGTTTTCCACAGGATTCGGGATTCCACTGCACTGCAGTGAATAAAGTTTTGTTTTTCTCCCGGTCTCTAAACGCTAGCCGTCATTACCCTTTCCAGGACGTTTCCAGCGGGCACACTGAACGTTTCCGCTCCAACCCGACGCCTGCCCCGGTCCACCAACAGCGCACCGAGTATAATTACAATCACCACGACAAACACTTCTTAAAATATGTTTTTCTAGAAATTTCGATGTAGACATCGCAATACTACCCTCAAAGAAGACTTAAAAGCTAACAGATACGTAATTCTTTAATAAAGTGTGCAACAAGAAACAATTCAATTCAATTCGTTATTATCCCACTTCTGATTTGTATGCATCCATATTATTTGTACTTACGTACATGTCGCTAACGCTGCGCCAGAAATATAAAAGGCCGCATAACGTACAATTCAAATAATTAGAAACATTTGTAAATAAGAAAATCGGCAATTAGTGTTGGAAGAAATATAACCTTTATACACAAATTCGCTACAAATCGTATGTACATATCAAGTAGGTCAATGACTCTAGTTATAATTTGTAATATTTTCACGAATCGTAATTAGTGTTTCGATTTATAGATGTTTTCTAAGAGGCAACTTTTATTCCTAATGTACCGATGTTATTTTACACCCTTTCGAATAGCCTATTTAAATTTTTAATTTTTTTAATGTATATGCAAGAAAAAGTATAATTCGTCAGTGAAAAAGTGCAAATTGACCCTTTTTAGATATTACACTGAGAAAAATATTTAATTGGAATAAAATTTATTGGCCATAACATAATTTTGTTGTTGTCGGGCTAAGTTATGTGGGGAATATCAAATTAAAATTTAAACATATATCGCTATGAGGAAAACTTTATTTTGAAAAATGAATAAAACACCTATCTATTAGTTGGTTAATTATGTAATTTTTTTGCAAATGTATGAGCAACTCACTTCGCCAATTTCGTACGAAATTTTTTCATCGCAAAAGTTCTCCATTTTGGTCCAGAAATCATCCCTTAAAAACGGTCTCGTTCTTCATTATTAAAATTACTGAAGCTAAAGAAAATGAAGGATTTATATCTAGTCTTATATCGATGTTACTGTCTATATAACACTTTTCACGCTCTGCATGCACAGTAATGGTTGATGATGTTCTACTCAACATGCTTCGTTGACTGTTCGCGTTTCCGGACATGTTTAATGTTAAATATTTTTTCTTCCTATAAATGTATTTGTACAACTCTTTGATAGGCACTAGCATCCTATTCTCCAAAAAATGTTTCGATTTTTATTAATTAGGTATATTAATTAATAATTATTTAATTTTGGGAACGATGAAATTTTCACTGTTAATCAATTCGTAAATGGCTCGTACACCCCGTATATCTATTTGCAAGTATTATTTTCACTGTCACTGCCGTTCTATTAAAACTTCTCACTTGTAATTTAACTTGATAAAATAAATTTTCACCACATTTGCAGTCTACTTAAAAAACTCGTTTAACTTTTGAATTATAAACACGAATTTTAAAGAGAAGAGCTTGTTTCCCTCATGCAAATTCTATAAAAAATGTAATGTAATAATCACTTAACATTTTGAGCCTTTAACAAGATTAAGCATGTTTTTGGGGGCATTATTTACACAAACCAACGATGGATGTTCTAAAAATTGGCGCGTGGACCGAAATATATATTTTCTCCTCTTCTACTTTGTTGCCTTTATTTAATTGGATATTTACCAAATTGAAAATATTGACACAAATATCGGTGTTCAAAAAGTGTGAAATTATTTTTCGTTTACTTTTCATCCCAGCCCCTGTTCAAAAGGAAAATCATCAGAGGACAATTCCGATCAAACGGATTCAGTCAAGTGAAAAAAAGACCGCTATGGTCGAGACTGTCCTTTTGGAATATTTCAAATCAACTTAAATCCACAATAAGGGAAACGTACTCGTGCCAATCAACAAGAATTGGAGTTTGTCTGCTGTGACGAGCAATATTAAACCGAACGGCTTTGGAAAAATATTGCTGATAAATCCCCAATAAATTTTCTACGCGCGTAAGTCCCAAAAAAGCGACAGTAAAGGTGTTAGGGAACAGTTATTTATAGATAAAGATCCGAGTGAGGATCCAAAATCTGATTTACGTTTCTCGTTGATAAGAATTTAAATAAATTAAACTAAAAAGAGAGGTTAATCTCTAATTTATTTATAATATCCGTAACGTAAGTTTATTTCAAATAAACTTTTTCATTTAAATGAAACTGGATAATGAACCAAGTAATAATGATGAAGTTTAATTATAATTCAATATTACAGATTTAAGAGAGATTTAAAAGTTATTTATTTGTTAGAGTATGTTTAGTTCGATGCCAGGGAAATCGCTTTGTAAATAAATTTTATTTTTATATTTGAACTAGTCATAATGACCCGGTATTCGCGGAAAAAGGATAAATATTAAGCTAGCTATATTTGTTTTATATGACGATTAACACAAGCATCAGAAAACAGACTTAAATAATTATGATTGCAATTAGAGCGGCATCGTTCTTGTTTGCGTACGAAAGTTAATGATCCTATAAAAATGGTTTAATTCTTTCGCTAGCGAAACGTTGAATTTTTCCAATAATAAACCTTTTATCATAACTGTTCATATGCGTCAATATTCTTTCATCATTTTCGAATACCATACATATAGCAGAAATATAAAAATACTTTGATATTTGTTGCATAGTAAATTCTGTTTGAATTTTCTTCGAAACAAAGTATGTAAATACTGATTTTTAAAGAAAAATTTCGTAAAATTTCAGTGTCTACAACTAGCAGCGTGTTTCCCGGTGATTAAACATGTCGAAGATTAATTCTCGAAGTCCATAGCCATGTTTTATTTTTAGTAGATCCGTCACAAAGTGTGTAAAGTTAAGGCAAAGCGGATGTTTTTCTATGATCATCAATAATACACACCATGTACAAAGTAAATAAATTCGAACTAAATATGCTTTTCATTTTCCATTAGAAGAATAAGTAATATAGTGCTGTTAATATGAAATATAAAAACTTACCTCCTTTTAGAATCTCCATCTATCTATATTTTATATTTTGCAAGTTATAATAATAAACAATATAAATTTTGTATTATTATGGCTAAAATTGGCTGCTGTGGGGTAGACTAACAAATAAAGCTTTTAAGATTTATTCCTCTCCTAGTCCTAGTAGTGTGGTATTTTCGAATAATTTTTAAAAAAAACGTATAAATAATACAAAATATCCCCTCCTCAAAACATAGTTTAAAATCATCTGCTTACCAGCACATGAAAGTAATTTAATTTTAACTTTATTTTAATGACACTCGTGAATTAAATTGCTATCATTATAATATTTTCGAATTTTGAATTCTACCGTTCGTTCTTATAAGTTGCCGCATTCGAAAAATTAGCACGTTTGCCTTTTTACTTCAAAGCGTATTGTCCTTCGGAAAGAAAATTTCATGGTTCACGTTTGTGTGACGTATGCCAATTACATTAAGGTGACTAAGTTTTACTTTAAGTTTGATCCGAATCGACTGTTGAAAGCAGTGTAGTTTCGCATGCAAACAGCTTTACAAACAATAAAACAACGGAGCAGTGCTTTCGATTTATTAAAAGGATATCAGTACAACACAAATACTAAAACACACGTATTATTAGCACATTGTTAGTGAAATTAATAGAACATCTATAAAAGCCGCGCAAGCCTTACCACGTTTGAAGCAAAGTGCACATGTTTAAATTAATGATTAAGCACCACATTCATTTATTAAACATCCCGAAAATTCGATTTGAGCACTGGTAATACTTTACGGCATTTACGACACGTTTTTTTTTAAGTTCCAATTAAATACGTGTTCTACAATCGTTCGACAGTAACGAAGAGAGCCACAATTTGACCTGTTAATTCAGCATAGGCATACGACCAAAATATATTGGAAGGGTCCAACATGTTCCGAACAGGGTGTTCTGCTGGTTTTGTATGAATTTATTATTAAACGTGCGATATAGATCTTACGCGTTGCGCTCCGAAAAAGTTGGTTGCATAAATAGATGCCACGACGATACGTTTATTGCCTCAGCCGCAACACCGTTTTAATTGACCCCTTTGGATATTTTTTTATGGTTTGGTTATGGATTTTTTTTGTTTTAGACTACTACTGCTTTGAGTAAATTGTAGGTGTAAATAAATCAATCAGCTGAGTTTAAAGTTTTAATGCGTTAAGTAAAAAATAAATACAATCTTAGTATATTATATACATGGATAAAAAAATTGAGTATATTAGCCCTTATCAATAAAAAGAGAGAAAAATAATACTGAAAAATTATAAATCTATCACATGGGAAAGAATACATTATATATACATCAGCACAAATAAATGCTCTTCGTATTATTGCTGCCTACACGTACAAAATTGTTTACAAATATATAATGAACGATACAAACACTTATACTAATATTATCAAATCTTATTATTACAAATTAAGATGTAGTGCTTGGAATAGGAACTTTAGCTAAATATTTAGTCGATCAGGGCAATTAAGTTATAAAATTCCCTTTAAACATTAATATAATTATAGTTTTTAAACTGTTTCTAATGAAACTTGTACAAATTTATTTTAAAAACAGCTTGGACCCATGCATTTACATTGTTCCCAGTCCTAGCCTACACGTTTTTGAATATGTAAATGATATGTTTAATCTCATATGATAATTAATATATTCACAATCATTAACCAGAAACTGACAAAGTACAAATTGTTCCATTTTTCATATATACCGATTTCGTGTGTAGAAGAATCCATTAAAACACCTAAATATATTAAATGCAATACTGTAGAAATTGAAAATACGAGTAAGCTTATTCTGCATGTTATACTGCTTCTTTTATACTTATGTGTGCAGTTTTCTTTACACGGGTATACCCTTATACAGCAGTCGAAAACTTGTGCAAGGTGATCCCTTACGGCAAGCTGAAGATAGGAAAAAATACCGATTGTTATCAGTATCACCGAGACTTTAATCTCGAAACCATGTAAAAATGAAGACATGAAAAAGGTCGCTAAAATCCCGTAGAATTTTCCCAAAGGTAACCAAGACTTGTAAATATCTGCAAATTAACAGAAATTATTTTGAAAAATTTAAATATTTGCTTGTCTCTTTCTAAATCAAATTTTACCTGAAAGGATCGTAAAATTTGGACATTACAGTTGTAGTGGTTTAATTTTCTGCTTAATTTTTTGTGGGTATTTCTGAACTAGTTTGATATTAGGTACTTACATCTTTTTAAGAATTCGTGCATAGGCCTATTCCAATTGGTAACGACAGTTGCCAGTGCATTCGGCACTTCAATTCTGAAGGGGTCAGTTATGAAAAATCGCCATTCATTCTTTTCGTACCAAATTTTATAATTTTTATAACCAGCGGCTAGCATAGAAGCTTCAGATAAATAACATATAAAGTAATGACTTGTCCTGAACGATAACGCTTCCTTATATCCGATTAGCCATCTGAAAAAGATTATTCAACATCCTAAAAACAGTTTTGAAATAAAATTCACCTGTTTGAGTCGTCAGTGATAAAATAACTTGTCCAGCAATTCGAAACCATCAAAAAAAATACGGATATAACCAAAGCCCTCAGTACCCCATATATCCACCATTTATTCTAAAATAAATTCCGTTAAAGGAAGGAGAATCGCAATTAAATTATGTTACCTTTCTAGTGGGGTGGTGGTACATAACATTATAGTCTTGAAATGATATCCAAGGTCCAAACATAATGTTGGCGCCACAAAAAATATAACCAAAGTATCGGGAAAATTTCGGGAAGCTTGTTACGCCTTTATCCATGTCGTCAACCAGTGAAATCAGTTTCATAGTAAATACCATGACAATTCCGCGTATTTCGAGCCATGTTGAAGGTTCCAGCAAATAATATTCACTGTAACATTTAGGAGATGTTAAATTTGTGGTAGTTTAGTTTAAAAGGTAGTCAAACCTACCATAAAACCAGTGTAGTAATCAAAATGTATTTAATTATATTTGAATTGCCTAAGTATCGAACCTTGTTAATATCTTGTTTTTGTACGGGATCATATTTGTTTTGTATCGCACGTCCCAAATGTAAAAGAAAGTATGACTGTGTGAAGAATATAAATATTAAAAGTTTTCCTTTTGTCGATTCAAGACTGCTGATTAAAAGTAAACCACTGAACCCTGATAAAATGTGGAATACTGTTTGGGGCACTCTACCTGTAGGAATTTAAAAATATAAATATATACCCAAGATATTACTCACAAACTACCTGTTGATACTATGACACTAAAACATAAATTAACCAAAATCACTTTGTATACTATATAAAATATACTTAATCCGGAAGGAACAACACAATTTACCCATACGTCAAAAAATGTTTCTTGGTAAAATTCGTTACTTGCATAAACATAATCAAGAGACCTAAAATAAAATATATGTTATGGAAAGTAAGAATTTTACATCTCGAAATCGTTTACTCTTCAGTATCGAAAGTGTCAGGTACTGAAGGCATATTTATACTGAATTATTGTTGCAAACATTACAAATACATTAAATATATTTAAATAACAAACTATTTTTAAACTACAATCTTTAGGTTAGGCTGTTGCATAGCAACCAACCGGGCACCTCCCGGATGCCCGGGCTTCCGAGATGGAATTAAATTAAAAGAGGGCATTCAGAAACCTGCATTGTACGTTATGTTTGTTGATTTGTCCCCACAGTGTGTCTGGTTTTTCGTGTTAACACCTCCTGTATAAAAACAAATAGGCTGACAGAATCAAGTAAAACTATTTTTTATGGGTAGGACCTTAAAGGGTAATCATTGGGTAACTATTGGTTTCTCAATTGTCATTGCCACGGCCTGCTAGGTTTACTATTGGAGCATTTTTCAGGAAAACGTGTTGGAATTTTTTTTATTCAAAAAATAGCATTTAGGGTTATTCTACGTTCCTCAATACTGTTATATACCAAATTTGAAGAATATCTATTATTTTTTTACACTCCGAAAAACCAGACACGTATATAAAAATTAGTCTTCTCTACGAACGCATACCAGGGAAGGGCCAGGGACCTGGGAGAGACCAAGCCCCCAATTTTCGTTTCAGTTTACAAAGAGTTTGTATACGCCATTGGAACTTTTTAATGGGGTTATTTCTTTCAACTGTAAAGAAAATGGAAATGTTTTAAAAATTTGTATATTCTTAATACTTTTTGTGAAACAATTCATGTAAATCCGTGACTTTTTTCTTATTTCAATTTGATTTTTTTTATGCGCATGCGAAATAATAGGAAAATCGCTAAATTCAATTGTTAATGATTTTGTCCATCGATTTTTTTAGGTAGCACTCGATTAATCCAACCAGCTTGTCAGATTGACGATTTCTCACAAATTAGACGATTTTTCGTTTGCAAAACATACTAATTTATATATTTAAAATAGCAATTAAAACCAGATTATTTGAATTTTTTATAATTAGGAACTTAATTAACATTTTAAGAGTTTGACCAGGTTTGCTAAAATAACTTTTTTAATTTATAAATCTTATAATACCAATATCTCAAATTTCTAATGAGTTTTGTGCTATTTATAATATTTAAATAGATATTATTTTTTAACAGATTTTAGCTATTTACTGTGCATTGTTTATGTCTGTAATGTCTGTATTGTCTGTCAGTTAAATGCAGTTAAAAAATTGGAAAACCCCCCCTTGTTAAATAAGTAATTTTTTTCAATAAATATTTTAAGTTTGAATTGTCTTCATTGAATTGAATTAATTATATACTAATAGTTATATGGTGTATCATTTTAATAAGGAAAATTGTACTTAAAGCTAGTGCGTTTGTTGAACAAAACGCATTAAAATTCATCTTACTCCATATTTCTCTATTTAGATCTTACTCTTTTCTGAACATCAAACGTAGAAGCATACTTATTTATTACAGATTTCGATTCAGTTCGGTTTGAAGTTTGAACTCACTGTTGTATTATGTATCCTAACCTATAAATAATGAAAGTTTTGTAAATATATATATTTTTTTTATACAAAGTGCAATAATGAACTCAAATTATTCTGTACCGCTTATTCCCCAAAATTTAAATAAACACGAAACTATTATCCAGATAGCAGAAGTATTAAACCACTTGACAAATGTAACTGAGAGTATATTTGGTATAGTAGAAAAAAGGTTAGATAGCAACAAAAATAAATTGACAGACATATCACAACGAGTGGATGCAGTGAATAAAAAAATAAATAAACTTAAAGGTGCAAAAAAGGCCACACAGGTATTTTCAAGCAGTAGATATCCTGCAGGTGAAACCTATAGGGAATATGTATCTACATTCAGTGATGCTCCGCCTTTAGAACTAAAACGACACAAAGTGAAATCCAAAAATTTGCCTTCCTCATACGAACCGCTAGATAAACTACAGTTTTATCACGTTAATGTATCGTCTGATAATAAACAAGAAAAATTAGAAGGCTTGGGTGATATACCGCAAGACGTTCATTGTGTTAACAATTTGTTATTGTATAATTCTGGGAAAAATTTATATAGGAATTTCGTTATAGCGGATGCTTTAAAGGGGCCCAGGAATGTAAGAGAAGAGGATGAAAACGATATATCCGATATAGGTCCAGCACCACATTCCATTAGTGAGAGGTCGACTTTAACCAAATCCACCACACAAAATTATTTCTATACGCCACAGATAGGAGAAGTGCCCGCTTTAGACGTACCACTTGATCTACCAGATTTACCAGGTATAGCCGACGACTTACATTACGATAGTGAAGTTGGCCCTGGAATTGCACCATCTGCTGTTGTTACACCAAATATAATAGAAAATGTTGACTTACCGGTGATAGAGCAAAGTGAACCCGACGTGAAAGAAGCTGACCATCCAAACATAAGTTTACCCCCTCCTCTACCACCCGTTACTGAACTTCCAAAGCCTCCACCAGCAGAACAGAATCACATACCACCTGTCCCAGAAGAAATTAAAGAAGACTTACCAAAACCACCGGAAGTGAAACAAGAAGCACCAACACAGCTGCTGCCAAAAATTGATATTCCACCTCCGAACGATGTTAGGTCTAGTCTTATGGAAGCTATAAGGAAGGCAGGCGGTTCAAAGAAGGCAAAACTGCGTTCTGTTAAAGAACCTCCTAAAGAAGTTAGTAAGCCTCCGGTAAGAATATTTTTTTTACTGTTAATGGTATAATCGGTTTATAAAATATGTACTTTAGGGTGGAGATTTAATGGCAGACCTTCATTTAAAATTATCTATGAGAAGAAAAGGTATTTCTGGGGCGAAGAAGCAAGAAAATTCCGTAGATCCAGATTCAACATTGGGAAAAATATCTGCTATGATTCCACCCCCCGAACCAAAAACCGATATTGATTCTAACTCTAATGATGAAGACTGGGAATAGAAAAGTGTTATATACTCAAAATATATATTTTATATTATTAATTGTTAAATAATTTTTACAATAAATATTAATTGCTGTTTAATGAAAAATGTGTTTATTTATTCCCCTCCAAAAAGAACTGCTATATGCTAAAGTAGAAATATGTTATTGATGTAATTTTTCCTGTATTATTAGTCATCACTGATATATTCAGATTTTAAAAATGTACTGCATTTTAAGGTGTTGTTATCATATCTACTTAGCAACTTATGGAATTGTGTGTATATTTTACTATGAAAGTAAAACTACAATTTCACTGACTAAAAAAAATTGTTAATTTCTTATTACTCTTTATGAAAAAAAACAAAATGTTTTGATCAAGGCTGAAACGTAATACTGAAGGTTCCTAAATTAAACACCGTTGAGGTCATCACAAAAACAAAAAAAAAAGTATTTGGTTAAAATTACTTTTATTGTGTATACTTGAAATAAATATTTTTACATGTAAAAGAAAAATAGTTAATATTTTAAAACATTTCTATTCTATAAATAAACAGACATACAGAAAAACAATTGCACAATGTAAAATAAAACTAGAATTTTAATACACTCTGAGGCACTTTTTTTATAAAATGTCATTTATAATGCATTTCAGATTAAGTAAAATTTAATGTTTGCAATTTAAAATGATTTTTTCTCATTTTAAAATAAAAGCATTCTTTGGAGCCAATAGGCAACCAATATAAAAGCCCGTATAATATAAAGACTTTTTTTTTAATATACTTGATACCATATATTTTTAAACAACAAATGTGAAAGTAAAATATTAAAATTATTCATCATTTCGATTTAAAACGCTGTATTTGTTTCCTGGGTGTAGGCTGCCTTTGTCTTGCTAAAAATGACTGACCTTGACCTGCACTCAGTGCAGCTAATCTTTCATCGATTGCTTCACGCTGACAAGTTAAACCTAATTTATAAAAAGCTGTGGTTAGGAGCCGTTCTTCTAATTCTTTCATAGTCGATTGTCTTAAAGATATATCAATTCCTCCATTGGCTTTAGATTCAAATTGCTGTGCCACTTCTCTAGCCTTTTCTAAATTTCTGTTGTATTTTGTTTGTGCAATTTGCAATTCGTTTTCTTTCGTACTGAGCGCTTCTTGTAAGGTCGTTATTTTCTGTTTATATTCCTTTACAACAGAGCTGTTAGAAGTAGCCTGATTATCACCTTGTGCTTGATTTTTAATTTCTTCCAGCTGTGCTTCCAACTTTACAATTGTTTGATGGAAAGTTCGATTTTTTTGTTGCAATTTTTCAATACGATTTAAGGAACTATCTAATTGTGCCTGTTTCGCTTCTAACTCTTGACGAGAACTTCTCAGTGACTTATTTTCCTTCTCTAGGAATCGTAATCTTTCTTTCATTTCTGTAGGAGTCAATTCTTGCGACATCGCTGTGCTGGTTTCATTTTTCGGACCTAGTTTTAATTCTTCGTTTTCTTCTCTCAACGAATCTCTCTCGACGATTAAACGTTCTTTTTCTCCTTGCAGCGCTACAACCCTTGCTTCCAATTTTTCTAAATTAAATTGAGCCTTATCGGCCTTTTGACCCTCTTCGTCTAATTTCTGTTGAAGTTCTGCTATTTGATTTTTATATGTATCACATTGTGCTTTCCAACTATGATTTTTTGACAATTCTTCCTCCAACTCTAAATTCTTTTGTAAATATTCCATATTTTTCTCCTCTAATTTTTGCAAGCTTCTTTTTATGTCTTGATAATTTTCTAATCGTTTTTTGTATGAAGCCAAAGCTAGTTCCAAATCCACAACTTTACCTGCGGATTCACTCAATGCATCTACTTCATCCTTTAATCTTGAGGAATCATTAGCAGCTATCTGTAATTCAGCAATTTTTTCTTGATATGTCAACATTTGCTTTTCTTGTTCCATTAGTTTCGCTTTAAAATCATCTCTCATTACTTCAGCTTTAAATAACTCTTCTTTTAACAGGTCGAGTTGTCTTCTGGCATTTTCTGGTGGATTGCGTGCTTCTTTTTCTAAGAAATCCTGATTTTGTGCTTGTAATGCTTGTTTTTCTTCAATTAGTACTTGAATTTGTTGCTCCAAATTCTGTACTTGTTGTGTTAGAGTTTCTTTGGCTTTATTTGCTGCTTCTAAATCACCAACCAGCTTAACCACTCTTGTATCACTGTCCCATATGAGGAGACTTAAGCTTGATCTACCAGGTCCTCCTGTCACCTCTTCCAATTGTTGAATCGCTTGCATTATATTCTGCTGTACTGATTCTTCCATTTCCATTATCATCGTAATATATTCTTGTTTTCTGTCACAGTTTATTGCACAACCTAAAAAAAAATATATTAATATTTATATAATCAACATGTGATCTTCATTTTACATACCTAATATTAAACGCAGAAGTTTTGCAAGTTGAACAGGATCGCTGTTTTCACCAATTTTATTGACATCGGGACGCCCTATTTCTAAAATTTGCTGTGAGAGCACATCCTGATAATATTCTACGACTGCCTCTACAATTTTTTTAAGATTGCTAACCCTTAGTCGCCAATTTGACCCAACATCTCTTTTAATTTTTGTCTCGAGTTTAGCAAAATGTTCTGGTGCAATTTGAATAAGGGCATCCAACATCCCAACACCATCACCAATTTCAGATATATTTCTGGTATTGTTAGGAATAATTTTTTGCAGCCATTTTGCAAGGCTCGCACACATTTCTTCACTGGGATCCATTCCTTTTTCTTAATTTATTCAACTGGTAAACTAATTAAACTTTCATTTATTTTAATGATGCATTTACTTATCTGTGGATATTATGACAACTCAATTACAGTGACGTTTATTTGACAGCTGTGTTCTTGACATAAAAACAAACTGCTTGGAATATTAGACATGTTTTCGTTATGTGCCTATTATACCAGCCGGTAATGGCAATGTGTATTTTGTCTATGTATACCATGTTTATTATATATAAGATAAAATAGAACTTTCGAGGTATTAAAATATATAATGTATTTAAATTTATTTCAGATTTTTAAATACACCTGAGGAAATGTCACTATCAAGTAGTGATGATGATGATTCTAGTTTGAGTAGTGATGAATCAACCTCAAGTCAATCTGATGATGATGACGATCAAAGCAGCAGTGAATATGAAAGTGTAAGTGATTACGAGGAAGACGTCAGTAGTAATGACTTCCTAGCAGGATTAAACGACTATGAAGCCAGGCCAAACCGGACATCTTCACCAATAGCGGGACCTAGTATCTATCAAGCACTTACCCTAGGTATAGGTATTAAACCTTCCTCAAAATCCCGAAATAAACCGAATTGCTGGAATGTGCGGGCCAATGGTAGTGCAATAAGAAACATTCGATTTTGTCACTGGTCTCAAGCTGCAATGACGTTGAGATCTGGCACCAGGAAAGCAAGTCTGTTACCCAACACTAAAATGATTAGGAAGTTTATACGGGCAATGATCGCATTTAACAGGTAATTTAAGATTAACTGAAATATTCTGGCCAGATACAATTAATTTTGATGTGATAATGATAAAATAACACTTAGTTATAGTGATTCTGTGATGGGAACGCTCTGATCCGTGACGTAATTCAAATGGTTGTTGACATTATTGTTGGGATTGGTACCTACCGATAATTACTGTGATTCGTTAAACCTTTTGGCACCTATCTGAAATTCCATTATTCTATCAGGCAATTAATAAAAAAACAATAATATTATTTTGTCATGTTGATGACCACGCATCAAATAGATATAGCTGCACATGTTTAATCAATTACAGATCTTTAAACTGGCTTAAGTTTTTGAATATGGATGACCCTTGTCATACTTCCGGTTAAATTAAAAACTAAAATAAAAAATGTAAATAAATGACCTCTAAAATATGATTGCTTTGCTATTGTCTTAAATTTAGTTAAATAATAGATATTATTCATAAAATTATTATGAAAAATTGAAATTTTTTGAAAAGTGTGAACACAGTAGACCATGAAATTAGAGTAGAAACAAAAATAAATTAATATTATGTAGGTATTAAAAATAATAATAAAAATCTTAAGTACCTATCTGTTCTAAACTAATCTAGAAATTAAAGCAAATTAGTTATCAATGAACATAACCTATTATTATTACGCAGGTCTTATAGTAATTGCATTTTTTTTTATCTGCCTATCATGATTTGCATTATTGAAATACGTCAGTTATTAATATTATTTAAATTCTTTGTCGTTGTAAGAGTGCTGCAAATTTTCAAATAATCCGCCACATCAATTCGTCGATTATTTTCAGCTGGTTAGTATACCTACCTATACCATGTACCTACATGACCTCAAATTATTGTAAGTTTGAATGCAGGTTTATTTTATCTTTAATCCAAAACTAATTTCTGTGTAGTTATGACACTGATCATATATTAACTTAAGCAATCTATTGTGTAGATTGGTAAATTAGTTTGAAAGTCGATAAGTAAATACATTTTTCTTCAACTTGCCGTAATTTTAACCACTGTCGCGTTGCTGAAAATTGACATTCTTTTATCCATCAAAACATATTATGCATTCTTCTAAAGTGTGTTGTTTGTAGTGCAGCTAGTGTTATTTTATTATTTTTACGATGTTTTAATGCGATTAAATTATAATAAACTATTATTTCAATAATAACTTGTGGATATCTGGCAAGAATGTTTATATTAGAATACAAAATCGAACACGTTCTTAAACGGTGAAGCATATATTTTACAGAGTTGGTACAGAAACTGTTGGAAGTCTAGGAAATATGACCGAAAATACTGTGAATAGCAGTCGCAGACCAAATTTTTCCAATATCCCGCAAAATGGGTTAAACAGGAATTTAAATCTACTAAATATTAAACCTACAACTGCTAAAAAGCTGGTAATAAAAAACCTTAAAAGTAAGTATTTTTTTATTATCTAACTATAAATTTTTTATCAAATTTTGTAATTACAGGTGAACCAAAGCTTCCTGATGATTATCGTGAACAAACATGGGATAAACTGCGTAGCGCAGTGTTGGCTATACAACAGTCAAAACCTAACCAGTATTCATTAGAGGAACTGTACCAGGCTGTAGAAAATATGTGCAATCATAAAATGGCCCCTACCTTATACTCGAGACTTTACAATTTAACAGAAAATCACGTTTCGCACAATATCGAACAATTCTTGGCGGAATCTATGGATCGCTTTCTGTTTCTAAAGAAGATGAATGAGACCTGGCTAGCTCACTGCAATCAGATGATCATGATAAGAAGCATATTCTTATATCTAGACCGAACTTATGTCCTTCAGAATCCAAATATTTCTTCGATTTGGGATATAGGCTTAGAGTTATTTAGCAAATATATATTATTAAATACTTTGGTTCAGACGCGTGTAGTTGAAGGTTTACTAATGCTTATTGAAAAAGAGCGGCAAGGAGACAAAGTTGACCGGACTCTATTAAAATCACTTCTTCGGATGTTGACAGATCTACAGATCTATGATAAAGCTTTCGAACAAAAATTCTTGCAGTCGACAGAGCGACTCTATGCAGCCGAAGGTCAACGACTAATGCAAGAACTGGAAGTTCCCGATTACTTAGCCCATGTAGATAAAAGAATCAATGAAGAAAATGAAAGAGTGTTACATTATCTCGACTCTGGTACGAAGTACCAGTTGATTCATACAGTCGAGAAGCAGCTATTGAGCGAACATGTTACCAATATTCTCCAGAAAGGTCTCGATCAGTTACTAAGTGAAAACAGAATTAGCGACCTTACGTTGCTGTACCAACTATTAAGCCGTGTCAAAAACGGACTTACGGAACTGTGCACAGCTTTCAATGGTTTCATAAAAACAAGAGGAAGAACAATCGTCATTGACCCTGAAAAAGACAAAACTATGGTTCAAGAACTGTTGGATTTCAAGGATGCTATGGATAATATCGTCGTGACTTGCTTTAATAGGAATGAAAAATTTAGCAATTCACTTAAAGAAGCTTTTGAACACTTTATTAATCAAAGAACAAATAAACCTGCTGAGCTTATCGGTAAGTTGTTTTAGTTAAACTAAATGTATGAATGTAATTCTTCGAAAATTCCTTTATCTTTAATTGCTTCATTTATAAATATTTTTAGCTAAATTTGTGGACTCCAAGCTGCGTGCTGGTAATAAAGAAGCAACAGAAGAAGAGCTGGAACGACTCTTGGACAAAATAATGGTTTTGTTCCGATTCATTCACGGCAAGGACGTATTCGAGGCCTTCTATAAAAAAGATTTGGCTAAGAGATTGCTTGTCGGCAAATCAGCAAGCGTAGATGCAGAAAAAAGTATGTTGAGTAAACTGAAACAAGAATGCGGAGGAGGATTTACTTCCAAATTGGAAGGAATGTTTAAAGACATGGAGCTTAGCAAAGATATTAATGTTGCATTCAAGCAACATTTGAATGTAAATACTCGTAATTTAGCCCCTATCGATATGACAGTTAATATATTAACCATGGGTTACTGGCCTACTTATCAAGCGATGGACGTTACTTTGCCCGATCAAATGGTCAAGTTTCAAGACATTTTTAAAGACTTCTACCTTAGTAAACATAGCGGAAGGAAGTTGCAGTGGCAACCCACGTTGGGTTATTGCGTTTTAAAGGCTACCTTTAAAACTGGCCCTAAAGAACTTGTCGTTTCTTTATTTCAAACTTTAGTAATATTGTTATTTAATAAATACGATGAGGTCACTTTTGAGTACATCAAGGCAGCGACGAGTATAGAAGATGGAGAACTGAGAAGAACATTACAGTCATTGGCGTGCGGCAAAGCAAGGGTTCTAAATAAAATACCTAAGGGACGTGAAATTGAGGACAATGATAAATTTAGGTTCAACAATGAATTTACCAATAAGTTGTTTAGAATTAAAATAAATCAAATACAGATGAAGGAAACCGTAAGTTTGAGTTGGTCAGTACGTAGGTGTTGTTTAATTTACTTATTTTACAGACCGAAGAACAAAAGGCAACCGAGGAACGTGTTTTCCAGGATAGGCAGTACCAAATTGATGCCGCCATAGTCAGAATCATGAAAATGCGTAAAACGCTTAGTCATAATTTGCTTATTAGTGAGCTATACTTACAGTTGAAATTTCCTGTCAAGGTGAGTTGCTTTCCGTATTTATAGTAATTTTGTTTTCTGTTGGTATGAGGAAATTGTTGAAATTTTGGTGTTTTTTTAGCCGGCGGATTTGAAGAAACGTATAGAATCTTTAATTGATAGAGACTATATGGAGAGGGATAAGGATAACCCGAACCAATATAACTACGTTGCTTAAGTTCTACTTTCTTGGTTTCAGTTGTCTTTTGATCTGTGTACTGTTACTATTTTTAGTTAATCCTACAGCAAATTGCAGTTGATTAAATTTCTAGTCCAGTCATAAATCTGGCCCTTTCTGCATTGTAAATATAATAGCAGGTTTATATGAGCAAGTTGTACTAAGTACATTATATATTAGTAGTATGGGGTTTTTCGTTTGTCTCTATCTCATTAATATTTTTGAAAATGATAAAATATTTTGTTTAGTTTTTGCATTTTGTGCATCAAATACCGTAATTTATAAGATTTGCAGTAAATCGCAGTAATGATATCTTCAAAATTGTAAATATTTACATCTTTATGTAATGTCACAATATCTCAGTTGAGTGATTTAAAAGTTAGTCTGCGTTTTGTGACTTTATAAAGTGTAATTATTAAACAAAAAACTGTGATGGATAAAATTTTATATATACATAAAAGTATTTAATATAAATCTATGATTTAGGGCAAAAAATATTGAGACAACGGTATTAACTGAAATTTAAATTCTGTACATAACTAACAGCAGATTTTTGTAAATATAAACTAAGCAGTTTTGCCTAGGTATTGTTACAGTTTTACAACCTTTAATTGCTTCTCAAGTTAGTTTCTTTTAAACCAGTTTTATTTTGTAGTGGTAACAAGTAACCAATTCGATCGCATAACAATTTACTAAATTATCGTTTTTATTTGCGTGTTGGTGGTGTTCACTTGTCCAATAATCACATATAAATTAATGATTGTTATGTAGAATAAAACTGGATTTATAAAAACTATAATCCTGAATGTTCTTATTTCAGTGGAAAAAAGCCTTTTGTTTTAATAAATATGTAAGTTTTGTATTTTAAAATTTAAGTAAATCTTGGTTTTGAATTGGTGTATGTTTTTATTAAATTATAATCCGAAACCTTTCAAATAAATTGTTACAGTTTGTGTTTAAATTACTTTATTGATTCTGTGAAAATAAACGATTTATACAAATTAAATACAACTGGGGTCAAGGGAAAGTACATGTAAAAAACTTTATATATTTTATTGAAAACGCTAATAAAAGACACTTACAACATAGAACTTATCTGTAAATTAAAACTTATTATAAATTAAAAACTGAAACCATCAAATACGTTCATGGTATTAAAGGAGTCCTCGTCTTCAAACCCTAAGATCTGAAATTAAAAAATAGTTGCACACATGATAAAAATAAATTTAGGTGCTTACATGTTGTTCGATGGAGTTCCTTGTTAAGTTCGTCATTGTACACTGATAGCACTCCATATAAGAAACACCCGAATTCGGTGCGGTGCACTCGCAGTCCACGCATTGTCGAGGCAAAGATTTTCGTGCGACGGCTTTAGCAAACACCGTCGAGCATTTTTTGGCATTCTTTTTGTCCTCTAAATATTTCCCGCTAAATACAGTGCCTAAAAACAAATCGTTTTTAACACGCTTATAAAGAACTTCACTCACCATTAGTTTCCATAGTCAAGGAAAGGCAATGGCCTAGCGTGGCCTTGGGAAGAATAATGGATTTTCGTAGCAACTGATCTCCCACAAGACTTCTCATATCTCTTTTTGTGAACGCGTAGCGACGGTCTATACCTAAAAAAAGTTTATAAATTTAAAATTCTCATAAATAAAAATATAGTGCTTTGATTTTATTAGAGATGTGCCGCGGATATGTCAGCTGGGACATGTCGTGAAAAGTGGACATGTCCTGAGGACACTTCAAGATTGAAAAGTTGTATGTGCATGCGCGGAATTATTTGTTGCATTCATAATTCCCGCAAAAAATTTATGAGGTTGGTACATGTAAAATTAAAGATATTATTTAGTCATTTTCTTGTAATTTGTTGATAATTGTTTAACTGAAACTGACATTTTAAACATATAACCTCTTATAAGTCTTATATGTCCATATTTTATTATTTTTGGCAAAGTTAACGATTAGTAAATGATGATTCTTAATTTAATATTTAATACACAAATAGTTTATAAATGAAGTATAAGGCCAAAATCAACAGTTTGGTTATATTTTTCTGAATTGAGTAAAAATCATAAATGTAACTTCTGAAACATTTAAATAAGTGTATTGGCTGTCCGGGGGAAATTAGAAACCAGTTTATAAAAAAGTCTAAAGGTAGGTAATAAGTAAAATACATATATCGACACATATTCATTAGAATAAAAGTAATATTTTACTTTGTGTACCCCAAACCCACAGGTCACTACCTGTGAAAACATGACGTCACTCGTAGGTGCCTTATTAGATTCAAGGTCAAAAGTACTTTTCCGACATGTCCGGACATTTCATTGACATGTCCGCAACACACTTTTCTGAAAAGTGCCCGTCTAGATTTTATTAATAGCTTACCGTATGGAATTCTAACTTCTCGTTCTTTTTGCATTGTGAAATTGTCGTTCATTATAATGTGCAGGGAAATGGCACCTTCGGATAATAACTGATGAATGGTAGAATAATCATACTAAAAAATAGTTATTTAATAAAGACTTCAATGGGGCAGGTTGCTTCAACCGCAAAAAAAATGAAATTAGTTAATTTAAAGTTTAAAATAAAATTTTATATTGTTTTATTTTACATTTATGATGTCACTAAACGAAAGATTAGGAAAATCACTAAATATCTGTTGGCACACTGATAGGGTAGAGCAACCATTAGCAATTTGTGCAGTGAATTGGAGCAAATAATTTTGGCCAGATTGAGCAATTTGTAACAAATTAGATGATTTGTTGTTTTCTAAAATACCATTTAAAATCATATTTAAAAATTTTGATGACTCATTAATTAACATTTTACAGGATTTGCCAAAATATTTTTATTTTTCTGATGTAGATGATAAAGCTTGAAATAATTATACAACTGAGAGAAATACTTACATCCATGTTATACTTGTTACACTCGGAACATGGCAAGAGAATAAAATTTCTAGACACTCCTGGCCTAAACATTAGGTTATAAGCAAATATTATAGCGTTGAACATATCCTTGTTCCCGTTTCCTAAAATCCAAAAGTTAACCGATTTGTTTCTAAAATTATTTTAGACTTACCTATCGGCAAATTATTAAAGTAGTTGACAATCGATTTAGAATCCGTAAACGTTTTTCCATTCAATATAACACTCCTTGGCTCATCAAAAATTCCGTCTCCACCAAAAACGACTGCCGAATATCTATAAAATAAAACATAAATTACAAATTTCATTTAGGCTTACAAGTTCTCAAATACCTGTTGTTCATCACGTTCAAATCGCTTAGTTCCTTGTCTAACTGTTCTATAACAGTGTCAAAGTTTTTAGATCTTATAAGGTCTTTGTTACACTCTTTAGCTTCCACTATAAAAACTACATCTGCAGTTTGCGGAACGGCGCTGCCCTGCAGTCTGATGAATTCACCCTCTTTGATTTCTGTGTTATTTAATAAGTTACACCTGAAAAAAATTCGTAATAAATAAATCTATACAGTCGTTCTAAACTTACTTGACGCAAGTGTCTGGAATCCTCAAAGGGATATTCGCATAGGAACATAAGTTGATGTAAGATATGGCTGACATGCAAGCCTCTCGTTCGTTTTGGCTGTTGTGACACATAGAGATAAAACTCTCTTTCGGGATCTTTTGGAAACATGAAGTGAGCTGTGAGACTTTGCTCGTGAAGAATTCTTCGCAAAGGGTTAGTATGTGTTGCGGGGCTGTTTTAGAATTATCGTTTAAAGGAACACTTGTTTTACAATTTTTATCTAGAGTCCAACTGTCTCCAAACGCATTTAATTTAGAAGTGTTCAGGTGAGCTTTGGATGACGTCGTAAAGTCGTCTGAAGGTTCGTTGTTGTATGTACCCCAAAGCCCTGCGGTTTTTCCAAAGTACCAACCTAGAATATATTTAATAACTTATACTGAAATTAGTTTGTCGTTGTTCTTACCTGACATTTCAAAAGTACATATGTGGAATTTCATGTTACATTCCAGATTAAATCCGGACGCACCCTTTACCGTCAGAATATCGGCATCTTGGTACAAATAATTGTCTCCGATTTGCAACGGTAGCCGTTCCATCCCCACTCCACCAATTTGAATACGCTGCAGAAAAAAAATTAACACGTCTAATTAAATAAAATATCGTAAATACATACTTTGTTAAGCATATCGATGTGAATGATACTTTTATTTAGCAAAAGTATAAGTTTGTTGGTATTCCCGACGTCATCGTAATCTACGAGCAAAGTGAAATTATGATCCACGAAATCCGTCGCTAGGAGATAAGTGCAGCGCCCTTGAAACTCGTAATATCTCCTGTCGAACGTGACGTAGTACTTAGTCCCAACCACCATCGCTTGTCCTGAGTGAAAACAAAAGAATGAAACATATGTGTTGACAGAACGGTTATAATTTACCTTTAAAAGGCGGTAACCATTCCTCGGGGTTCACGAAGGGTTTGTAGTCGTAGTATAAGTTCCAAAACGAAATCTTAGACGCCTCCAAGTACTTTTGTAAGTCGTAAATTGCTTTAATTTCGGGAATTTCCTAAAAATATAAATAAGAGTGTGAGATTATCCCAAAAAATAATTTATAATTATATTACCTTAAACTTAGGAGTTTCGTTGAAAGCGTGCCAAGGCATAGGAAGTTTCTGTTCCAAAAGCATTATTCCATCGTCAGGTTCAAAAACGAATTTCGTTTTTGCTACACGCTGTCTGTTAATAAATTTTAATAAATCAAAAGTAAACACTTTTAAGTTCAATACAGGGTGTCCCGAAATTCATGCAACAAAATTTGGTCACAGATTCTTAAGACAAATTTAGGGGACCCGTATTTTTTATGTTTGCCAAGTGGCCCCCTATTTCGGAGTTACAGCCCCCTGAAGTCCGCCCCTAAGAATAATCTTTTTTTTATATCAGAATCCTGTTGTAAGAGAATCTATAAATTTGGTACACAGGAGTTTTATGACATGCGGAATCTGATGGTGAATCTGAATTTTTCGTGGGCCCTCTTGTTTTTGGAGCCAAAAAAATTTGGTCGCATATTTAAATATCTTAAAAATTATCAGTCCACTAGAGAGCTATTAAATTTAGAAACTTTTTGTCACGTTATACTTTTTCGTAAAACGCAATGTTATCGAGAAAAATGTCAAAATGTGATCGAATGCATATCGTGATTCGCCATTTTCCTCAAAAACATTGCGTTTTACGAAACAAATATCAAGAGACAAAAAAATTTCTAAATTCAATGGCTTCCTAGCTAACTAATCATTTTAAAAAAATCAAATTTGCGACCAAATTTTTCTAGTTCCAAAGACAAGGGGGCCAACGAAAAATTGTCTTAAGGGGGTATATCCCCACAAAGCGTAGCACTGTGACCAAATTTTGTTGCATGAATTTCGGGACACCCTGTATAATAAACTTACCTGTTTTCCGCTTCCAAGGCCGTGACGGACATGTCGGATAATTTAATGTATATCATAGTAACAATCTTATGGATTCTGTTTTCAACATCAAAATGGTCGTAGTAATATTTGGCACACTCGTAAGATTCATTCCATTTAGTTATCAGATATTTAATGGACGGTATATTTCCAATTTGCTTCAGCTCCGTCCATATCTCACTTACAATCGCCGATAATTCTTTTCCGAAGGGAATTGTGTTAATAAACTTTTCTTTTAAGAAGTTCCACGTTATGGTTATGTACTTGTAAATGCTACCGATTGTATTTTTACCAGTTATATCTTTGTAGAATCTGTCTATGTCGTGCGAAAATTTCGTGAATCTCACGAAGTAGGGGGATTCCACGATCTCATTTTTCCGGAGGTACAGGAAGTCTAAAAACATGTAATTAAATATACTATATGCATATACAAAGTGCAACTTTAAATTGTTTTTTTTTTAATGTTCCCTCTCAAATAAACATTTTTCTTAAAAAAATTATATTTATTTCACGATTTATTAAATATTGAAAATTCTTTTTTTTTAATCAAATAAATAGTTCAGTTATAATTAGCTTTTTAAAATGCACTTTAATTCTTGTGTACGCCGCCACTGTAATATTCATGTGTTACAAATACATGAATTGTAGGCAACCTACAGTGCACGTGAAGGGAGATAGTGCGAGTCAACGGTGGCGAAGTGAAGGGACAGGAGTTCTAATTGTGAATTTGAATGTTTTTATAAGGTTCAACCTGTACCTAAAAATTCTTTTCCAGTATTCCAGACGATGGATTCAATGTAATGAATTAATTTTAAAAATGTAGGTTCGATAGCTGCTAACGTTTTGTGCCAGTGTTCGACGATTAGTGTGGATATCTGGGACCACATCTGCTCCATGTACTGTATTACAGTCACGTGGACGTTTTTTATGAAGTTGTCGTACTTTTCAATCAGTTTTTCAAACAGATTTGATATGTGTTCGACGGGATCGCCGTTTATAAATCCGTGGATGAAGTCGGTGGTATTCTTGTAATACAGTTTTACCTGAAACAATATATTTTTGTAATTCTTTTAGTTTAAAACATATATTAATTTTTTTTACCTTTTCTATGACCCATAATATTCCCCGTTTGATTTTCTGTCCAGACTCTCCCATCACCGACCAAATTTCTTGGACAATCGTCGGTAACGATTGCAAATGTGATTTGAGCGCCAACTCATCAAACATAGTTATAACAGTTGTAGTTATATCTCTAATATAAAACTCGTTATTATGATACGACTTATTTAAAAATGACTTAAGCTCGTCTATATCACTTTCAATGACGGATAAATTTCTTAGGTCGCTAAGAAACACGTGAATATTGGGTTTGGCATCTATCCATATACCGTGAATGGCGTCCGATGTCTCGGTTCTTGCGTATTGCTTTGTGTTGTTTATACTTTCTAACATGTCTGTGTAAAATTTCATAATACTTCTTCGTATACCCGACTAAAATTTTAAAGAAACCTTTAAGAAAACGTCACGTTTATTAAAATCAATATAACAAATACCTGTACATCCCCTATTAGCTCTGGTCTCCATTGCAATCTAGACATTATTAACCGTGAATGGTTCAGCCTTAAGAAGTAAGATACGTCAGAAACTCGTTTATCCTCGTAATCACGCCAAATGTCAAAAACGGCACTTCTAGCGTCCGGTATAAACCCATACATGTGAAGGCTCTGACTTCCATCTAAAAGCAGGAAATACGATAAAACAACCCGGCAAAAAAGTGACCTTTCTTTACCTTCTGTTAAGTTAACATTGAGGTACAACAGTTTCATTTTTAAATTAAGGTAGAACTCTCCAGCGGTATCGTTAACTCCGTGTGCGGCCCATATATTTGCCGTGTAAATAGGGAAGTTTTCACCGTACTTTCCATAAAAGTAGGACAGTCCAGTGGCAGCGCTGTCTTTCTGCAAAATGCTATGTTTTTACAAATACATGATTAATGCAGCGTATTACCTTCATTTCTATTTCGTTTTGTTGTAGATTTACCCGAGCTAAAGCCACCGATGTAGATAAGGGCAGGTACGACCGTCGGTAATTAGTGACGTGTTCGGTACCGAAAGTACTGGAATTCCAATAGAAATCACCTCTGGAGTTTAAAATTAAATTCGTGGTGTTGTGTTCGGCCCAGGCCATGTACGAGTAGTTGTAGATGCGCGAATTAGAATTGTCGCTTAGTTTTCCACGTAACGTCAATCGTTGATCGGGATCTAACGAATAATCAACAAATACTTGCCCGTCGATCGAAGTCTTATCGTATCCGTAGTCGCTAAAGAGTGAAACATCCTGTAAAACAACCGGAAATAATATAGTTTAATTTCACGTTATCGTAATTTTCGTACCCTTTCAAATGAAGGATGTTTGATTTTTAACAGCAGTTGTTCTCGTTGAACCGATGACCGCCTCCAATCCATCCCAACCTTAACCGTTTTGTTGTCTTTGTCCCACACGAGTGAAGCGTCCGTCGATACAATTGAATTACTTATGTTATAAAAGCCTTGCGCTGTAAATTTACGACGCGGGTAAATCACGTTGATTATTCCTTGCTGAACGTCGAAAGTCTCGTCCTAGAATCGATACTTAACTTTATTGCATGTAGGAAAAATTTTATGAGGTTACCGTAGTTTTGTTGATTAAAGCGATGTCGTATTCTATCCAGTTGGAGGGGCTTAGTTCTATGCGGGAGTGTTGTCTATATTCTCGATCTAAGACGTCGTAACCGTTCCATAATTTAACCGTTCTGTTTCCGTGAGTTGCTTTTAAAATGTATTCCTGTCCGCTCCACGTTGAACGTATATACAACTCACCGGTAACGTTAAACTTGGACCGATTTTGTAAATGGTATAAATGTAGATATTTATTGTCCTGCAAAATAAACGGTTAATTGAACAAATGATAAATGTAAGGCAACATACCACGTTCGGCATATTCGCTTTATCCTCCTTCGACGAATCAGACTCTTGTGTGTGAATGTAATCAGCCCCCACGGGTACCAACTTGTTCTGCAGTTCCACGTGAATTTTATCTTTATTTATTCCGACTTTCGACTCCGTCACACTTTTATACGTGCCGTCTAGAACGTTAGTACCATTGTATTTCACTACCGCATGGCCCATACTGTTTTTCGGTTTTTTCTAAAAGAAGAGCCTCTAAATATTCTTCAAATTTTTTTTTCAGTCGAAATACTTACGTCGTACTCGTAATCCATAAAAGCAACGTGACGTGTGGCCAGAGGTAACTCCACAGTTAACACACCTTTCAGGTTTCTTTCGGACGACATACCTTGCGACTTTATGTCGCATTTGCTGTCTAAAACCGCGTCGTTGCCTTGCCAAAATACCTTAATGTGCCTGTTGTGTTGAAAACTAAAATAGAAAGTCGTTATCCGTACTAAGGTTATAATTTTTTTTTACTCACTCGTTTGTTTTGGCGCTGAATAGCGCGCCTGTGTAGTTTAAGGACTTGTACGGTACAGTTACGTTGATTAGCCCGTTCATGTTACCTAACTCTTTATAATCGACCGTGGCATATGCGACGGATCGTTTCTCGGGGTGAAATATTTGACCCCTGAAAAACCGTGGAATGTTATTGCTTATTAGAAATCGTGAAAAGACTGTTAATACTCACGTCAAATTGTAGTGATCGCTTAGCGACGCGAATTTAAAATTTGTTTCTAGAAATTGCTTGTCGACAAACTTTGGAGTTTTTAGTTTGTATATAAAATCGAATACTTTACCAGATCCTTCGAAGTTAGCGTAATTATTGTACCGTTTGCTATCCCATTCCACCTCTATATTTCCGGATAAATTCGACTTATTTTCTGTTAAGATCTGGAAAATATATACCTATAAGCACAAACCTACATATGTATTTATTTTATTTACTTTTCCCCAAATGCCGTATTTTCTTTGGGAATTTCTGGTTCTGTATTTCAATAAACAGTCAGTGTTTCTATAATTCTTCGTATAGTCTAAGTTTCCATATACGCTGTGTATTTCTTTGTTATCATCATTCGGTGGTTTTAAATGCACTTCAAATTCCATGGGCTTTTCTAAGTGTAATGATACGTTTGTCCCAGCTCTACGATTATAGAAAGATAGTTAAGGACAATTTTGAGAAAACAAACTTATGATTTGTGTAACCTAACTTTAAGTGTTATAATTAGTTTTTTTAAATGAGGGGTATAGATGCAAAACTCACATTATCCATAATTTTTCGAAATAGAGTTAGTGACGCTATCTTGTTCGTGTTGAACTACACCATTTTAAAATTTAGAAGTGGTACAAACTCACATTTTCGTATTTACTTTTAAATTGTGAAATCTGTGAATTGTTTCAAAAGTCACTTTTTCCTATGATCTGAAGGTGCCAAAACTCACATTATCCATATCCACCAATGAAAAAGCTTAAAGCGATAAACCAATATGGCCGACTGCCTAAGGAGAATGTGAATTTTGCTTCTCTTATTGTTTTGCTTTCCTAGATGGTTGGTTCCGCGTTTTTTCTATGAGTTTCTGATTAAAAGTAAGATAAGTTTAGTTCTGAAGTTTCATATTTAAATATCTATGAAGAGAAACAAAGCTAAGGTTTTGAGGTTAGTTTATTTAAAACAAAATATTATGTAGAATAATTTGGAGTAAAACTACCATTATCCAAGAAGTTGTATCAAAACTCACATTATCCAAACTTTAATTCACTTTCTTGGAGTCTTGGAGTATTGTTGTGCTGTCATTTCTCCAATTAAGTCTAATACAATACCAAAAAAAAATTCAGAGCCTTAAGTCACTTAAAAAGTGAGAAATCAGTTATTCCTTCTTCCTGAAAAATTTTAAAAAGTGGATAATGTGTTTTGCATCTATACCCCTCAAATGCACTTTAATAATTATGTACGCTGCCACTGTAATATTCGTGTATTACAAATACATGAATTGTAGGCAACCTACAATGCATGTGAACCGCGAATGCAGCTAAGAGCTCGCCCTCTGGCGATGACAAGCATAGAAAATATAGTACTAACGTAGAATGAAATCTAACATATGAATAATGAAACTGTCATGGCGGCGTCACATGTTAGTTAGCTTCCAAAATAAAAGATGGCGCAGAGAATGCTAACCCTGTCATTTAGGGTTGGTTGGTAATGCAGTTTGGACTTTGCACGTATTTGAAGTTTGGCTTTCGTTATCTTTGGCACAGAATATAATTCTGTCTGGTTTGTTAGGTTATCCTCTGAAAATTGTAAATTATAGTATTGCAAGAATTGTGTTTATAATTATTTAGTGCTTAAGAGTTTTCTATTTGTTATTATATTATACTGGGAATACGATGTGTAAGTTTTAAGTTATATTTTATTAAAAACCAAACATATCTTTACCAACATTATGTGGAACACTCATACTCATGTTACCTGTATTAATCGATTAGAAACAGTCCACATAAAATGTGCATGTTTGAAATTACATATTATTTAAGTTAAATATAGATAAAAATAATTATGTGTATGATGATAAACTCCAACTAATATTTTATGAAACCTTTGATACTTAGATGCTTACAAAATTTTTAATGGTGGTGAATTGCTTTCTTTATTCAGTTTGAGACATAGAAAATATACTGTTAATATTAAGGTTTGAAAGTTCCAAACTATATGAACTATTGAATTTAACCCAATATTGTACAAATATTCGGTTAGGTATACTCTCCGGAAAGTAAGATTATTATAACAGTTCATGCATAATTTTTATATTTTTACAGCTTACTTGCCAACTTATCAAGTTTATGAAGCAAATGAATTAAATCGTTGTCGTTTTTACCTACAATTAAATACATAACAAGAAATTGTTTTAATAGTACATGCATAACAACATTCTGTATAAATCAATTAGGAATTCTTGTAGATACAAAATAAACTTAAAATTATTAAAAAATGTTTTATTTCCTTATCGAAACCATTTACTAAGTATATCTTGGCAAATGTCAAAATTTGAAAAATACTCTAATATAATAAAATAATAAATAAGAAGAAATTGTCTGTATTTATTTGTGGCATTATAAATGTTATAATTTGGATATTTTGCCATAGTTTGAAGAAAAAAAAACTGGAAAAATAAACCCTTGTACCGATAGGGACAGTCAAGTGTCAATACTGAAAACTTTTGCCTAATAGTGAGATGCCAGACATAATCTACATGTATAAGTCTGGTTACGCACTGGAAAAACAAATACACATCACAATAACACTGACGTTTATGAAACCTCTAGTTTCGTTATCAAAGCAGAAGTGAATTAGAAAAGTACTGAATATTAGTTTTTCGCTACATTTTCTGTTTAACTAAATAATCTGTTCTCAAAAGTATTGACACTTGACTATTCCTATTTGTATAAGGGTTTACTTTTAAAATAATATAATATAGAGGATATAAGTGAGAAGTCGTTTCCATACGATAGATGGCGCTGTAATCAGTTCACAAAGTATAAAGTGTTGCCTACTCATTAGGGGCTAAGTAGTAGTAAGCTTCCAAAACGTTACGTGGCGCTGTTTCGCGGTTTAGTGACAATATTAGGGATATTTCATTCTACGTTAGTACTATATTTTCTATCAGTGATGGGCATAATCGACCAATTTTGATAATCGAGTACTTCTAATAATCGAGTGATCGCTCGAGATACGAGATATTGGTCGTTTTCATCCCAGCGGCGCACAAATATGTTTGTATTAGTCATATATTACTTATAAGCGTAGCTAAAAAAAAAAAAGCTCACGCACTTCAAAACCTAACCACTTTTTCGTTTTATTCTAAAAAAAAAAGGTTACGCAATCAGTGACTATTTGCAGTATGCACTAACATTTTGGGGTGCAACCATAGGGTAATAATCACTCGAGTGGTGGGAGTAAACATCTCCAGATATCTCGAGTGATCTCAATAATCGAGTACCACTCGATTTTTCACTCGAAATCTCCCATCACTATTTTCTATGATGACAAGTGATACTAGCGAAACAAGGTAAACATTTCTTGTGTGCGAGACATTTCGTTTCGTATTTTATTAAAACTGTGTTTAGTGTTCGTTTTTTGAACACTTATTTTAAGAAAATAGTGTGAGGAAAACTTCAGCAGTTACGGATAAAAAGACGAAATTGTCGAACTCGCTGAATTTCAAAAAGGTTGTTAGTAAAGTTTGTAGGTATATAGACACAATGAATAAAATTCTAAATTTAAGTCACTTTGTCCAATTTTCCCATATAGTACCAAGACCAGCGTTAAAAACTGCCTCTCCTTCTGATATATAACGAGTTTTCGTTGGCATTTAAATAAGAAATGTAAGGTATTCCACAAGGGATAACTTCATAGTTATAACCTCAAAAAATGTACATTAAATTGTAATGCTACAAACAAACAAGGTAGACATAAATACTTGCATTAAAATTTATTTATGAAATATTTGAAACCTATAAAATAACACAAAAGCAAAATAACCGCAGTTTAATAACAAAATTACTAATAATAATGGGAAATAAAACGAATGTTGTTCAAATGAATGTGTAAACACGAACGGCAATGTCAAAATTACCTTGTCTCGAAGCTTACCGCTTTCGCCGCTTGGAGACAGTACATCTAACTGTGAGTTTGAATGTTTTTTATCACTGGAAGCCTTCGACAGATTATTTAATTTTGTGTATTTCATTTATCATTATTGATTATTGCGTGAGTTATTTTGTTAGGTTACTTGTTAAGTACTGTTTGCGTGGTGCATACAAATTCAATTCATTTAAAAAAATTAAGTTTTTACGACGGAATTTGAAAAAATAAATATTGAAGGTCAAAAATTAGAAAAACATAAAAAACATATACATACTCCCAAATCTGTCCTATTTTGGTATCGCTTCCAGCTTTAACAGATCGGAATGCCTTCTGGGGGTTTTCGTAAAATGCCTTGAGTGATGATTCGCCGATGTAATTGACGCTTTCATACCGCCCAACTGTTTTTATGTACATGTTTTCCAAAAACATCCATATAAAATTGACGTCTATGTTCCCTCTTGCCTTGGTGGCTTCGAAGAATCCATGAATCACATGTTCCGGTCCGGAAATGCTGAAGGGTAGAGGAATGTTACGAGAAATAAATGTAAGTAGAGATACTCACGTATAGGTGGCGCCTAGTTTGGGTTTTTCGAGTCTTAGAATTGGCGTGCGTGCATTTATAATCAAATTTTTGCTGGTTGTGTTAGAGTCTGCTTTAACGTGGACAGTGATCCGCGCAGAATCTGAAGTATCAAGCTAAAATTGTACGCAACGGTAAAATGTAGGTTGACAAAATATTCATCAAATACCTGTAGGTTAAACTCCCAGTTAAATTTATCCGTAGTGCTTAGATATGCATTGAAATTAGTAAAACGGTTGAAGTGTTGCACGCTGCCAATTATTTTGTATTTATTTAAGCCTACCGCCGAAAGCTGATACTCAAAGTCTAAAGGAGGCGTTTTATCGATCGGAGTGAATCGAATGGCAACTCTTGTTGGTAAACCACCTATCACGTCGGCGGTTCCCGATATATCAAACAATTTGTCTTTCAACATCAGGTTACCGTCGAACTCTCGAATGTCTTCCGATGGTTTCGATATCGTGCAGTTTATGAATACTGGAAACCTATAACAAAGTCCTAGTAACCCAGGAAATAAAACAGATTAATTAATTACCTTTTCCTGTTAAAAGTTAATACCGACGTGGACGTAAATAAATTATTTTGTAGCGTCGAGTGAATCTCCATGTCCAGTGGGTGCATCTGGAGCGCGAATATAAAAGTGGATTTTCCTTTAGACACATGGACATCAACAGCTGTTGTCGTGTTCTCTAAACCGGTAAAAGGCGTCATCAGTTGTACTTTTGAACGGAATTCGTTTCTCGATTTCATAAGCCACGACGATCGGAAGTGAATCTGGGGAATACAACTGATGAATTAGTAATAATAAATAATAATTTTTTTTTTAATCAGCTGCGTTTTATAATAATACTTACATCAGTTGGTAGCTTTTCCGGCATATTTAAATTAATTTCCACATAATTGTCTGACTTTGAAAACAATTTAGTTAAGTTTAGCTGACAGGGCGGTATGTATATAGACGGCGTTATCATATTAAATTTCGAAGTTAGCACCAGTAAACCACCATTAATCTATAAAATTAAATTTAATTTCACGTTGTGATATAAAAAAATGTAAGCAGTTACCTTGGTAGTAGCGTCCAGATGTACGTCACTTCTATTTGTTTCAAATGTTAGTAACGTGTGATAATTATTTGCGTCCATCATAAAGCCGCCGAATATATTTAATTTTGGGAAAACTTGCAACGGGGTGTTAACATTAAGGGTTACGTTGTACACTCTATTTTGCGTTTCCTTCGTCTCGGCTAAGTATTTCGCATGGAAACCAGTCTAAAATAAAGAATAGGTCGTATTTGTTGTGTTAGAAGTGAATTGTCATCACACCTTTATTAATTTTGTCATGTTTTGGTAATCCACATCGAGGCCAAATATGTAAGCACGTCCAGTATCCACGACGAAGTTAAAATTTGACGAAATAGTTTTCATACTTTGGTAAGGTGTGTCCACTTTCAGACTATTCCTCATTGAAAAGATATCCTGAAAAAGACAGCCGAAACTTTAACGTTGCTCGAATTAAAAAAATATATTTTATAAAACGTATACTTGCAATGTACTCGAATTCATCATAAACTGTGGCCATTCCGTGAGGCAGTGTCAGCGTTGATTGTAAAATGTAGGAATACTCCTTCTGGTCAATTTCCAATTCACCTTTTATCGTCGGGTAAATTATTACATCTAATTCCAACAAACCGTTCCAACTAAGCGGATTTTCATTCCTTTTCTCCATCTGGGAGGCTTTGGATTTTAAGTAGACTTTCCGTACTTCTATGCCTAACTCCTTCAGTGGCTTCGACTTACCTAATAACTTAACACCGAGCTGAAAAAAAATTGTATGAAATAAATCATTCGGTAGATGAAAAAATACAAACCTTATAATTAGATAATTTTATAGACGCTTCAGAATCTAGACCTTCTTTTGATAATACAAGCTTCGCGACACAGCCGTTTTCCTCGAAATCCTGTAGAGGGGTGTAGATCTTGTAGGCATATTCAAAGTTCGTGATGTTAACGTAATTCCAAACCCCGGAGAATCCTATCAAGAGGAAATTCCATCCCAGACGAAAGTCAGCCTAAAATTTCCCAATTTTAATGGTAAAATAGTAACAGTTAGCGAAACCTTACCTGGTTTGGTACTAATTTGGCGGCGATTATAACTTTTTGCAAAAATTCCACCGGCGTGGCTACGTACAATTTCGTGTTGAAATTGGCGAGGCTATTAACAGAAAATAGCACCTCCGCACCGAGATTTCCTGTCGGATACGAAAATAATGCGATAAAATGACGATCCTCCACCGAGATTCGAAATCGTAACTGATAACCTTCTGTGGGCGTCGTTACATTTACTATTAACATACAGTTTGTTATTTTTCTGAATTTCCCCTCTAAGTTCACCGTAATTTTTTTATTATCCAGATCCAGCTCTGCGATTCCTTTGAGGTCGTTCGTATTTTTCAGGAAAATTTTACTGACTAGTATGCCTTTGTTTAACCCTTTGAAAGGGGTGACCGAATGAACCGTTCCTGTTAAGTTGGTGGAGTCTTTATTTGATTCGATTTCCCACTGACTGTCTAAGTCAATTATAAAATCCGGATTGTACTAAAAAATTTAAAATCGTAGTCACAATAATATTTTAATTAATTAAACTTACCATTAAATGTAAAACTGAATTGAAATTGGTTTCGTTTTGTTCATGACTGATCGTAGTATTAATATTTGGAATGTGACTGAGAGAACTTGCTAGGGAACAACTATATTTACAAGTGAAAATGGACTCGGTCGATGTATAGTCCCCAAATATGTCTATCGCAACTCTTTGCCCTCGATCCCAAGCCGTCATACCGTTCATAATGTACTTATTATTTAAATGTTCGAACCTGAAATACGAAATCGATTGGTGTTAGTTTCATAATATTTTAAATTAATACTTACAGTCCGTTTAACTTCATCAATTTCCAATTCTCAAACGGAGTTCTTAGATTTGAAGAAAATTCCAAAAACAACTTCTCTTCGCTTCCATATCTTAAATTTAGGTCTATCGCAAAGGTGCTTCCATCGTCCCACGACAGGCTTGCAAGAGTGTTAAGATTCCTGTCTATAAGACATTTGGAGAGATTATGATAAAATATGTTTTAAATAAAAAACACTTACCCTGTAAGACGAATTTATATTCCCCTCTGACAGTACGGGACGGATAGTTGAGTGTGAAGTCTGCGACATAATTAAAATCCGCTATTTTGGTATATTTCGCTAAAACCATCAACTTTTGGTCCGGATCTCGGTTTGCATCCCAATTTATTTCAAAACCAAATTCTTTATGTGTCTCCAAATTGTAAACAGAGATAGTAAAGTCGATATCTCTGATCCTAAAATAAGTATACAGTGCAGCCACTTGATTTACATTTTTATTTACATAATAGCCTCCTAGATGAACTTAATTACAATATTATAGTAGGTTTACATGGCCTTCTATGAGTTTTGTTTGTTTGGAAAGAACTTTTTTAATTGGAACTTCAACAATTTATAATGCAAAATAGACTTGCTATTGTTTGTGATTCAGCTTAAAAATCTGGGATGCATTGGAAATGCCTAAAGATGTAAAATAAGCAACAAATGCATTTCCAAAGCCTTCTAGATTTTTAAACTGAAAGAGAACATCCCAATTAATTCACAAAATATCTAGAAAGCTTCTGTAATAAAACAATAATAATAAAGCTACAGCTATACTGTACTACACTGTGAAATAGCAAGAAAAAAGGGATCTTACTGGTCTAGGCGCAGTTCTGCATGGATTTTTTTGTAGTTTTCGTCGTAGACCGTGCAAAAGAATCTGTAAAGCTTGTCTTTAATATTCACTTTGGCCAATGTCCTAGTTTCTTCGGGCGACATTGTTTGATGGTGAAGGAGTATCTGATAATCGTCATTATTATGCGACACCTAAAAATAAATTTTTAAACTTGTCGATATTCCTTCAATAGATCGCTTACTTTAAGGTCCAGCTTCAGTACTTCGTTATTGCGGTAATATTGTACATCTACGTTGGCATCCTGAAAACTAGGGGAGTTCAAGAACAGTTTGATATGATGATTTGACGACGACGCCGTGCTCTTATCTTGATAAAAGCCTATCGTGTTCAAGCTGTGGCCGCTGAACCAAGTAGCTTTAATGTCGATCTGCAAAAAGCGCTTTCTGAATATGATGTCTGAAAAGGTAATAACTTGGGTACGTACCATAAAATCTTTGGGATGTTTCTCTTGTACGTCGAGTTTTAGAATCATAGGCGTGAAGGACGGTATGGTGATGTTAATGTGTGTCTTAATCTGCTCCAACGTTAACCTCGGATGTGACCAAAATATTGTCACGGCAACTTCTTTATTGTCTCCGTATTTGACAAGAGCAGCTATGTTCACATCGTGTCGGAAGCTTTCATAGATAAATTCACCCTTTAACGCTAAATTACTGGATTTTCTACTTAAACCGGTGACCAATTTCAACGTACGTTTGTTGTCAGTAAACGATTTATATGAAAACAGTAAATCGAACTTTAAAGTTTGAATGTCAGCGTCTGGTTGATCGGCAACCGGGTTCTGAATCAGTTTTATTATCAAATCCATGTGGCTACCGCTTCTCTGTAACAAACATAAATAAACATTAAAAGTGTTTGATTGTACGTGTGTTACTGACTTACTTGAAACGTTGCATTTGACGCAAAATTCAAGTTGGGGTAAGCGGAGGAATTTAGGTTACAAAATCCAAGGACGACTACCATGTTGTTACGAGATCTGTTCGCGACACCGAACTTTAAAGTAATCCTCTGTTCTTTCGTGTGGTGGAACTTGTAGTCTTGGTATAAGTTTACTTCTAGAGACGACTCACTTTTTGATATATATCCGAATAGTTTGGAATTCAGTCTTTTAGTTTCGAATTTTATATCCACCGTGTATTGCGATATGCTCTTTTTGCTCATCAAATCTATAGACCCTAAAATATGTTACGTGGTTTCATGCAGCTAAACCATGATACTTTTTATACTTACCATCTAGTTTAACTACTCGTTCTCCGTTAACCCCTACGTAGACTTTCGGTTTGTAAGAAAATCCATTTTTAATTTGAGATCGTACAAGAGACATGCTGGCATCGAAATGTTTCTTGTCATTGATATCTAAAGCAACTTGGATGAACTTCTCATTCTCCGTATTTTTGTATCTGCCCCGTGCTAATACCGTCCCTACCGAGGACTGTAGTAACATCGTCAGATTCTGGCTTTGCCTATCTATCGTTAAGTTCCCATTAAGTACTCTGTTTATCTCGGATCCGGGGGTATCGAAAATTAAAGAAATCACGCTTTTGTCCCTTTGGTGCGTCCACTTATATTCGAATAAGTAAACGTTGGCTGTCGGATCCGACTTGTTTATGTACCACCTAAACCCGGCTGGCCCCGCAAGCAGGAAATGTGCCACGTTATCCATTCCCGTCACATTTGCATAGTAATATTCTGCGCAAAGCTTGAGCCCTATCGTTTTATCCACTGAAGGCCACGAGCATATAGATTTTAAGTTGATGTTGCTTGAGATTCCTCTTTGCCTCTCTTCTTTGTTATTTCTTTTTATCAGCAACTCGGACCTGAAATTTGAAACTTTTTTATTCTCGATACGGATGTCTTTATTATTGAGAATTACCTTACGCCAAATATTTCATTCTTCTGTCTCGGCAAGCTAAACTTGACACTGACTAGTTTTTTACCCCTTACTTTAACGGACGCTCTTACAGCGCTATCCGTATACATATTGGCTTTGAGTTTGGCCCCTGTACTGGCATAAAAAGCGTCAACCGACATTTCACCGCTAACATCTAATGAAACGGTTGGTTGTATGTCGGCAGTAAGGTCTATTTCCAGGTCTTTATCCTTGGACAATCCTGCTGTCTTTAAGGATCCGTATAGTTTTAGATTTATCGAAGATGTTCCCAATGCCGTTAGTTGCAACGGCAAACCGGCTCCGGTGGGTACTATATAGTTGCAATCAAGGAACATTACAGCCTTGTTATAAGAAATTTCCTGCAAAGACAATAATATTAGTTAAATATAATTGGGTGTGATGTACAATGCATACCTTTCCAGAAAATATGTGTTTTAAGTGGTATACGGGATCAAGATCTTGTACCGCATCCCATATTTCTTTTTTCCCCCTAAACGAGGCATATTTTAGTTCATTTCCAAATACCTTCAAACCTAGCAAAACCTTAGAAAAAGATACACATGTTTATATATAGCATATATAAGCAGTTGGATAAATTACACAAAAATTGCGTATCATACCCTGTGAGATTATGAAAAAAAATTGAACATAAAATTTTAAAACTCGTTTTTTTCAAATGTCAAAAATTGTCGGTTCCATAACCTATTTAAATTAATCTTAGTTGCAATAGAAAACAGAAGAAAATTTTATATAAATTAATCATAGGTGCCATAAGAGACAAATGAAAACTTTATTCAAATTAATCATAGTTGCCATGAAAGACAAATGAAAATTTTATTAAATTAGTCATAGCTGCCACGAGAGACAGATGAAAATTTCGACTTCCCATGGACTTACCTTCGGTTCCTTTGTTACATTATCCATGACATTGGGTAATCTACTGATTTGATTTTTCAAAACTTCATCCGGTCTTGCGTTTCTCGTACCGCGCACCTTGTCTATTATGCTCTCCGCCATCGATTTTGATGACCCTTTGGGTCCGAAAAGCGATTCTAAGTAATGTTCGAAGCCTTCTAATCGACCGTTAATCTGAAAGTGACCTGTTACTCACTATTTTTTATTATTGTGTGCTATATTATTACCTCAAATAAGTTTATAGCTTCCCCAAACACGTCAACAGTGAAATTAAACATGGCAGATTTTGGAATAAACGACGACGTTGAAAATATAATATTACTTTCGTAGCTACCGCCTGCAAACATATTTGTTAAAAAAACGTTACGTAAATGCGGTTAATTTTTACCCATATTGTAATCGTCGAAATACAGCGACCCCTCGAAATTATTTGAGAATTTTCTGATGTCGCTACTAAATTTTTTAACCAAGTCCTTTTCCGAGAGTAAGCTTTGAATTTCTACTTTACTTGGAACGGAAGTTTTAAGCAGATTGTTTAAATGCGTCCATATAAACGATCCAACTAAAAATATACCGGGTGAATGATGTAAGGCCGGAAGTGATATTAGTTATAAAACACAGCTACCTTGATTAACCTCCTCATGCAGTAGAGAATGGCGGATTGTACGTATAAGTAAATAATTAGGGCATCTCATTATTTGAAGATAGGAAGCTATGCGAATTTCAGCATCTTCGTCCTGGTTCCGGAAGATATACTCAAAATAATTTCTAGAGTCCTCGCAAGGCAAGCGACGAAAGCTTTCAACCGCAGCAACTCTCAACCCCACGTCCAAATTATTATTATCTATAACTTTAAAAAGCTCTTTTTGGAAATCTTCAGACATCACGCCGATGTTGGATAAAGCTTTAATGGTAACCATGATCTGTGGATGAAAACAGAATTCTTCCCCGCTTCTTAAACATAAAAAAATTACTTACCTCGTCGTATGTTTCTCTTTCTAAATAATCCATCTTTAACAACTTCAAAAAATTAAGTTCCAAGTATCGAACAATAGAAAACACCGAATCGATATTTTGGCAGTTGGAATGTTGAGTGCAGTATGAACGTGTGAGAGAGGCCACGCTTAAAGCGATAGTCGGAGAGAATTTATGTTTATGTAAAAGATCCATTCCGACCTCCATCATATCTTCGTTCGGGTTTGCAATAAAAGCTATTGAGAGAACCCATTCGTTGACTGTACCTTCTGGGACATTTTCGTGCAAAATAATGTCTCGCATTACGGAAACCGACGCGGCGGTATTTACGAAAGGCATAATGTCTAGTAAGTGCTTCCTAAAACGTTACACAAAAAAAAATCGTTGCGGTTTAAAAAGAATAATAATATAGAAACTGGCCATACCTTCCTGTGGGACATGTTGCTTTGGAATGTCCGTACAAAGCCGAAAGGGCGGGATAAGAAAGCAGCCGCAAGCTTTTAATAAACTTGCCAAATATATCCGACAGATCGGTGTGATCGTCATTTTTACTCCGCTTGCACAGCTTTTTTATCAAATCCCTTGAAATTTTCAATTCCGCGTGCGTTATTTTCGGCTGCACGGTGTGATCGAAACGTAAAGCTTCCCTCAGCGATATTTCCGTTTCCGAGTTATACGCGTTAGTAGTAACTTCATTTAGTAAACTCAGTTTCTGCACCATGGTGGTGCTAACACCCGCGCCTTGATTGGAAAAAGGTTGCAAAACGTAGGTTTCTTTGCAAGTTATGTCATTGTATACGTTATGGTCGATTGATACGAGGCAGTGACTTGACGAATTCAATATTTTATCGGTTTTCTAAAAATTTGAAGGGTACATTAATGTTTTAAGCATGAGAATTAAGTATATTTACCGATTCGATGTTTAAGGTGCTTCTAGTCTGTAACACGGAATGAAACTTGGATCTTCTTTGGCAAGAATTCAAATCCTTAGTTTTTTCTATCAACAAACTAGTTTGGTCTGCCCCTAGGATCCTATACTGTGTAGGGCACTTTCCTCTAACGTCCTCCTCTTCAGTCGAATGGTCCAAATCAAACCTTTTCATCGTATTGTGCAGCATGGACAGAATACCCCTTTTGAAATTCAAAATCCAAACTTTTTCTTCCTCCGACGGGCATATTTCATTAATAACACCATCTTTAAAGGAAAACCTTAAGGAATATTCACTGACAGCGTAGGCGAATTGCTGATCGTTGGGATTATTCGGGTCCGATGGGGTGTTTTCGCTTAATTTAACATCAGACAGGGTCAGAACGCCGTCACAAGGTGTGAAAAAACCGAGGCTGACTATCCCTTCTACGTACAGACTAGATTCGTTTTTGCTTGTGCCGTTAAAAAATGTCTTTACGTCCACCGAATATTTGTAATTCTGTTGGGTTCCGGGTCCGTATTTAAATTTCCTCGCACCTGTAAATTAGAGCTTTTAAGATATTTAACACGCGATTTTTGTTGCAGAAATTTGCAGCTAATTAAAGTATTTATTTCTTTAGCCACCAAGCTACTAAAAATAGATGTCTAATGCGTAAAATTCCTTAATCGAATTTATAGTTACGTCAAACTATAAAATTATTTGTTAACATGTGTCACGAGTAGTATTGATTGGAAATATTAAGTAATTAATGGTAACTATTTTTCAAAGGTGTGGTAAATTTTTGGACTTTATTTTTAGAACATTGTGTAAACATATTTTATTAAAAAAAAAAAAACAATTACCTTTACATTCTGGTAAACCACATATATTTGGATCCTTTAAAGGGTCTGAAAATAATAAAATGTCAGTTTTCAATGGAAGTATGGAAATTTGTAGTGTTTTATATATTGTTTCAACAAAATAATTATCAAATGAATTTGCGATAATATTCTAACATTATTAAAAACAATTATTTCTCTAGTTACGCAAATATTGAAATAATTGTTTACTTCCATGCAGTCGTGCTTTAATTACTTAAATCCTGGTATAATCTATAAATTTGTTTTTCTATGATAACTTTTTGAAGACCTCAATATCAGATATAAACTTCACTCGACATATAATTAATTTAATTGGACAAAATTGTTAATTTTAGGTTTAACGGGATAACAAAAATTGTAGATGTTTTATCAGGCACGTCTGGCGGATCTATTAATTAGTTGCCGCTTTGAGATGAACATAAATGTTTAATGCGGTTTTATATATATATATATTAAGTGTTATGTACTTCGTGTAGTCATAAAATTTATTCTAGGTACTTGAAAGGCTATTTAGTCGAGACAGTCGTGCAATTTGTCCGTATTTCCGCCGATAAAAGAACTCCCAAATGCAAATAAAATAATTCTTTGGCATACTTACTTTGAGCAAAGTTCCACTTTACGAGCAGTAAGCCTATTACAAGCTGGAGGATTAATTTCATTTTACAAACAACATGGAATTGTGCACTACGTATCAGAGGATATTTAAGCACTCAGCACTAACACACACAGGCCTGATTGCAGTCTCGCTGGTCGCTGGTAATAAATCAGATATTATGGCAAAGGTCGCACAGGGTCCAAAAACGAGATAAATAAATAAGAGGTTCAATAGGTCAGATGCTCTAATGGTAATGGGTATTATCATTAAAATGTATGTACCTCTTATCTATTGTACATCCAAATATATGTACATATTTTCATTGAATGGTTAGAGGCTTATCCACAGGGTGATGAGAATTGAAACGAAATTACCCACGTAATTATTTCCGTTTTAAATCCATGATAAACTAATGCCTACTCGTTCGGACGTTGCCATAAAGGTTGTTTGTTTAAGGTTTTAGTTACTCTTTGTTTGGATATTGGGAATAAATAAATACCGATGTAATAAATAAAATTTTATTTTGGTTTTCACTGAATAGATAATTTTACATTTGTAGGAAATATATTTGTGTTATATAATATCTTTAATGATTGATTTGTTGCCATCGATGAGATGAGAATAAAATTATTATATGATCAATAAACCACGTAACATCCTAAATGAGGGTACATAACCAGCTCTGTAATTTACAAAAATTTCAACAATTCAAATATATCTCTACTATACAAATAATAGTTTATAGTGGAACATTATTTAAATCTACAGTTTGATTTACAGAGTCGAAAGAAATCGTAATGTTTTTAAATTTTAGTGTAATAATCGTGTTATATTTTCCGAATAAAGTCAAAAAGTTATTATCCTATGAATATTCAGATAATACATTAAAAATTATTTTATTTATAATATACACAACTTCTATCTTTAAAACTCAGTTTCTATGTACAAATATCTCACATATACAGGGTAAATATAGTAAAAAGTCATCATTTATTTATTTATTTAATTATCTCAGTGCTTCTGTTAATAGCCTGAATTAACTTATGTAAATTTTATGCTGAATTGCCTATTTTTTTACAGTTTTTGTCACACGTCTTGTCATAGTAGGCGTTGTAATTTAATTCTGCAAATTTCTCCATTTGGCGGTACATTTTTCAAACTACTACAACCTTATTATTACGGGAGAGGGAGTAATTTAAGGTACATTGTATACATACATACATAAGTTTTGCGATAAACTGTCTCTTCATATTATAATAATTGAATTTGCTTCAATTAAAAAAAAATATGAAAACGTGGCATCACGGCTGTCCGGGATTTTGCATTCCTTTTCAGCTGTGGGTTATTAATACCCACCGAGTGCGGAATATTTTCATATTTTTTTGAGTGGAAGTTTTCGAAATCCTGTACAGACTGGAAAAGTTTTACATTAAGCGAGTCTGTTCTCCGCACGTATTTTTTTGTAAAGTATTTTTTTTTCATTTGTTTCATTTAGTTTTTCTGGGACACGGTATATACAGGGTGACGCAGCTGTACGCGATTAAATTTCTCATGAAGCAAAAACCTATGTGTTCTTTCAGTTATAACCAATGTTGAAAATCAGTATACATACATCTAGCGTCAGCCTGTATAATATTTATTTACAGATCGATATAATCTATAACGGTATATTAAAAAAAAAAACAAGTTATACTTCTATAGAAAATATCTATGCATGTCTATAACTCGTAGAAGACGGTTATTCGAATAGCTACCTGTTCGACCAAACCCTCAGGTATAGGTTACTAAAATAACACATGGTATAAATATATGACATGGTGATTAAACCTAAAATATTTAGTGAGCTGTTAGACAAGGCAGCTGATCCAGTTTGCATAGCTGCGGGTCTTTCGCCTGGAAATAAAGGGAATAGATCAGAATTTCATAGGAATAAAGTCGATCCAGTTACCATTTAACACATGCACTCTGACACTTGCGACATCTGCATTGGAAGGACTACAGGAATATTTTCCGGAATCAGATATATCAGCGTGCTGAATTAAAAGAAAGCTGGTCGTCACGTCACCTTTTTCGGTTATGACGCTTACACCACCGCGATTCGAATCGTAGCTTATGACCTGGAAATCAAAACTAATATACGGGGTGTTTCACGACGAACTGTACATGTGTAGTGGCAGAGGGGTCAAATTAGTTCCCACAAACGGTTTAAAAAACTGCTAATACCCAGACCCAGATTCTGCATCACTCTGCTACTACGGTATGTACACACCCTCACTGAGGGAAATCCACCAATAAGAGAGTTTAAAAACTAAGTTAATAATTGAATCTAGCGAAGTGCACATAATGGCAAATAATTAATTTATTAGTATCTAAAAAGTCACTTATCAAAAATCATAGAAAAGAACCAACTTTTCTCGAATATCTAGTTTGTGACATCCGAACTACTTTTTTCGCGAAAGGGTCTCATTTGACCTACCCTATACATCGAAAATAATTTAATGCGATTAATTCCCGTACAAAACGTGTCTTTCTGCAGGCACCGCAGCCGTGTACGAATTTTGGGGACACAATAACACTTTCTGAATACCAAAATTCTAGTTCTTGCTGCTGATTGTAATAGTAATAAATTATACGCGAATTACAATATAGTACTTACGTCATCGTGATGATACCAAAAGATGTAAGCCGGCGGCTCTGGACTGTATCTTATAGAGCAAGTTAGATTAATTGTACTTCCCTTGTCTACGTGGAGATCGGGACCTCCAAGAATTTGTGCTGTGGGTACTAAAAATAATATGGAGATTAATGGTGGTGAAATATTTGCAGCAGATGGGCGTAATGAGTCATTTTATTAAAAAAAAATATCCACGAAGTTGATCGATTGAAAATGGTTTATTGAACATGTTGTATTTGTTAAAAACATCTTTTGTTTCGCAGCACAGGGTGATCCGCTTAAGACTGCCCAATTTTGTTAAATTATAAGATTCTTTTAGTTTTCTTGTAACTGTCGCGTTGATCACCACATTACATTTCTTTATTTTTTTTTGAATAGCCTGGTTCTAGGTCAACCTTATTTAGATAAAATAACTGATTACTTTAAATTTTTTTAAAGTTAAAAAAAAGTTTTTACGACGGAATTTGAAAAAATCTATTAATACGTGTTTCTAAAGGTCAAAGGAAGACTTTGTATACATATGACCTCCACTCAAATTTACACCCTGTATAAAAATACGATTTCGGACTCGCTGAAAGCGCGGGTTGCGTTAGACTGAACAGAATTACAGATTTTTTCGTAATTTAACCGACTTTCCGTTTCCGAAATTTGCTTTGTGAACGTCCTTAAATGAATCACCCTGTGTATTAAGAGCAATTAATATAAATCAATCAATTTTAATTAGTAGGCGCTGAAGCATGTACGGGCAATTCAATATACAGTTTATTAGTATGCAAGCGCAGATATATTCCAGTTCAGTGTATTAGTTCGTACAGAAATATATTCATAACTTGGAACCTGCATTAGGGTGTTGGTTTTTCGTCGGAGGACAAATACAGTTACATTTATCGTTGCCCTCGTCTCTAGAAGGTTCATCTGCCGCTATCGCGTCTGTAAATAATTAAAAACGTCCTTCACAAGGCCCTGTACACAGACAAAATGTATTTGTATCTTTTGATGAAAAATCGATGTTTGGCATGATATTTTTATACGTACCGACAACGGTAAGGCTGACGAAATAACTGCGCACAGGTTGGGTGCTAATTTGGCACTCGTATATTCCTGCGTCTCTCTTTTGAGCCCACTTTATTTGAAGTATCCATTCATCTGTTTCGGAATGATGAGTGGCTTGGAAACGCTGATCGCTAGTGTAAGTGTAGCTTCCAACCGTCAGAATATGTATATCCCGGTGCCGTATCCAGGACACCTAGGATGCATGAAACATCCAATTACAAATGTTATTAAAACGAGCTAGCGACAGCTGAAAATCACTGTTGCCCGCGAATTTCGACGTTTTTTTTCAATGTTTCAGCTCTTTGAGAAAAAAATTGTTAATTAAAAAGTAATAGCAAGAGATTTAATAACTAAACTGTTTTCATACGCTATCAATAACTCGTTACATTCAAACTTAGGTATCATTAGACCTGCACAATCATTATCGTTATCCCCGTAGCGTGTACGAACATCTAAAAGATTCAATACTTTTTACCTCTCTGGTCTGCGGAGAGTGGCTATTAAAAGGTCCATGATCACGTAAGCTTTGTACGATTCCAACAAAAGTTTCATTTGGGTTCTTTTTACCCCCGAGACCACCGTCTACATAAAACTTTCAACAGATACACGTAACTTCCACAGAGATTGTAATGTTAAATAAAGTCTAAGAATATTTATTTCGAAAAGGTTTCGAATTTAACGAATAAACAAAAAATCGTGAACTCACAGTCTTGTTTCCCAAGTTGCGTACTCTGCAGCCTAAATAGGCTGATTTTCCAACAAGAGCAGTGACGTTGCGTGGCGTCATCGTGTCGAAATAAGGTTCGAAACGACTTTGGAAGTTGGCGGACCCTACAGGAGGAAGAGTTTCGCTTTCTGGAAGTGCATTCATTCCATTAGCCGAACTCGCCATACCGCCCTTTACAATAAGCAAACCTGTAATAAAGTATTTTTAGATCCAGCGGCACAACTACTCGGGAATTGTGAGAGATCGAAAGACGGGCTAAATCTTAATAGGGATATCGCTCGTTTCGCAAGGGATAGGGATAAATGCTATATAAATATAAATTAATGGTTCTAAGGTTAGCAGTTAACTTCTGATGCCTATATATCTCGTACCTATTATAAATGTAAACCAGAGTTCCTCATTAGTTGATAAATGGAGAACATGCGGAGCAGTAAATAATTCTAATCTGTCACGGTATTATCCGAAGGTTCGAGGGCTTAATACAAATACATCTGAATTGTTTCATTCAATACGGGGGATCAGATCCAATTTAACATTCACATACGTATATACGGAACCTTGATTAACTTTCCAGCGTTCAGGGGTGAGCAAATTTTAAAAACAGGAACAATAAAAGAGGTGGACGAGTTTTATTGGGAGTAATTCAAACTTGAACGTCTCTATACTCCCGAGTAATATTTTTAACAATGTCCCTGGTCTTTCAAACTACCTAAATTTCATTTAAATGTACTTAATAACCCTTATTCTGGATGTTAATAATTACATTTTGGATATAATTCTTCGCTGTGAAGTTGTGAAATTTTAAACTTATTATTAGCTGGAGATCTAATTATCCAGCGCTTGATATTGAAACTTCATTTAAGTCTGAGCTTAATTAAGTCTAATCTGCCTCTTAATGAAAATTAATTTTACTATTATCGTAATATCCTAATAATCTACCCGTTATTGCAAGTGTTAAACATTTTACCGATCTTTTGAATGTTTGAGTTTTTATTAGGTATGTCTATAGTAGTGGTTGTTGCTAGTATTTTTTTATTTGAATTAATTCTATTATATCACCTTCGTAATTATTGTGTCGTAAATAATTATTTACTTTCTCAGTTTGAGATATTTCTGACTACGCAAAACTAAATTAATAAAATCAACCATTTGACTGACTTTTTGGCGCAAAGGTTTAATTTTTGCATATTTTGGTCTCTAAAAGAAATACCCAATCAAATAAAAAGAATAATTGAAAATGCCACAAATTAATAATAATTATAGACTACAAAAAAGGATAAAAATAATATTGTAATTTTGTTGTAACTGTACAGTTTATGAACTAAAACTACACTGGGAGATATTTGAAAATTATATTTATTTACACGTTTCTTTATAAATTAATCCTTGAAGGATGAGATTTTAAAAATTAGATACACCAATTGTTTTGTGGTGTAAGTAATACCACATATACTGTTTTTATATTATTCCGAACAAATTCTACGATTTCTAACTGTCTTGAATATATCATCAAAAGGAGATTTTAATATTTTTTCGTTTTATTGAAACAACGCCCCTTTTTCACAACAACTGCCGTATGTTAAAACATGCGATTGAAAAATAGTAGGAGTCGTAGCTGTTATTTTATATGCATAGCTGTACGTAAATAGACAGACAAATGAAAATAACAATAAGAAACAGTTCTTATTTATCTAAATAATAAATTAATTAATTGAAATAAATAAAAACATTTTTTTACCTGTGTTACTGAAAAGCACTGTAATGGTCATAAATCCAGATAATGATTGATACCACATTGTTGTTTACCTTTCCTGGTGTAATACAAAAATATCACATACGATTACCGTCACTATTTAACAAATAGTACAAATTAGTTCTTAGCAGAAGCACTAATTTATTTTTACCACGCCTAATTTAGTAGAACACTACAATTTCAAGTGACAAATGTTGATTCTAGTTATATTTTTCGGTACATTATTAGAATCCAATACTTTTAACCATTAAATTCGGTACACATGCATGTATTATACATCGTAAGCATTTTACGTGGATTTCATAAGGATATAACATATTTATAACTTAACATCAAAGCCTCTACGGACGTGAGAAACACAGAGCAGCGTCAAATGAGTATTTTCGTGATACTAGGCGTCGCGACGCTTCTCTCGCTTGCACATGTTCACCGTTGCTCCCTCTACCGAACCGAACTTTCACCAATCTTTGTGTGCCGTATCGACTTTAGTGCAAATTTAATGTTTACCTTCATTACTTTTCCGTTACTTTCTTTAATTTATCACGTGGATATACCGAATGCTTTCTTTTTTTTTTGTATAAAATGGCGAATGCGCCGGGTTTAACACTGCGGTTAATTTTTCGTATATATTTGGACTTAAGAACGTATTGATTGAATATATTTTTAAATACACTACAGTTGTTTTTTTGTACCGAGGAACTCTATTAATAAACAAATTTTATATTCAAAATGCCCGGTGTTTATTTGATTTCATCCGTTTACCCAATAGTGGGCGTTGCTTTCAGAAAATCAGAGATATACTTGAAGGTCATATTAAGCTAACACTTCTCTTCTTCTTCTACTGCAGTAGCCACAAGTGGTTCATATTCAACTGCCCTAGAAAACGGTAGTTCTAATTTACAGTTTTTGTATTTGTACCAAAAATATTACTTTTGGACTATGCAAAATATACTCGTCATTCGTCACGTCACGTCACAATCCGGTGTAAACACAATTGATATTGATTCATAAATGTGATTTATTAGTTACAATAGTACAATATTATATTATTTTGTAACTAGCGCTGATGTCATTTTTCACGTCGTCGTATCAGTATATGATTTTTCTCGCATTGACGCAAGTGATACCTATGATGCGACTTTCTAAACAAGTTTCGTGAGTTTTATGATAAACAAGTTTTCGTGGTGAAATTATTTTCTGTGATAATATTAATTAACTATTTAAATAATTGTGTTTTTAACAGATTTACTTTTTGATCTAATATGGAAACTGAAGGAATCAGTAATAAAATAAATCCAGATTTAATTAAAGAACGCCAAAAATGTACTTTTAACACTGTTGAGTTGACATACTTGTTAGATGGTGGTGAGGAGAAGACCAAAGAAAGGAAGAGCAGAGGTAAAAAACGTAGTGACACTCGACAATTTTATTTCTTTAACACTGCTTTACAGAATTTTTTTTCCTGGAAGATCCCGAGTTACGCTCAAAAATTCCCTTGGAATATTTAAGTCACAAAGAGAAATATGAGGAATCGGTACGGATTGCTTGTAAAATTTTTCAAAAGGTTCAGCAGCTCCAAAGTGAGGGAAAAGGGGGAATGGATAATTTTAGGTCAGTTCTAATGCCCATTATTTTATTTAAAACAACTTACCACTTAAGTAATAAGCAGTTTATATTTATGTACAGGGGTTTGACCTTTGTACATCTTTTGACCTATGGATTTTGCAATTAAATTGAGTTGACTAAATTAACAAAACCAGTTTGAGTAAACTACTTCATTAATTATCAGCAATTCAGATAAGAAAAATTGCTATGATATACTTGACTTTTGGCTGGACTTTATATTTATATATCTATTTATAAAAAAAAGTGATATGAACTTTTTCCCTACATATGTAAGAAATTTACTCACTTTTATTTATTTGATTGCTAAAATTACTAAATATGATTTTTTACTGGGAAAATTTATTGAATTAATTTATAGAGAGATTCTTGGTGGTCAGTTGGGATCGGCTCTGCTCAAAGATGGCAACCCGTTAACGTTACACTATGTGATGTTCATACCAACTTTGATGGGCCAAGGAAACATCGAGCAGCAAGCTGAGTGGATCCAAAAAGCATGGAACTGTGACATTATAGGCACATATGCACAAGTATGTCACTTTTCTCGGTCATTTATTAAAAAATCATGTTTCGAATTATTTTAGACAGAATTAGGACACGGAACATTTATTAGAGGACTGGAAACCACTTCCACGTATGATCCAAAGACAGAAGAGTTCGTTTTAGACAGCCCGACTTTAACATCGTACAAATGGTGGCCAGGGGGGCGTAAGTTAAATAATAATATTTTATGATTCTTTTATTTTCTATGATTTTCCTTCATAGTCGGCCAATCAGCCAATTACGCTATTGTCGTCGCACAGCTTTATACCCAAGGCAAATGCCATGGGATCCACCCGTTCATAGTTCAATTAAGAGACGAGAAAACGCATAAACCGCTGCCCGGGATCAAAATAGGTGAAATAGGCTGCAAAATGGGAATGAACTGTACAAACAACGGGTATCTAGGGTTCGAGAATGTGAGAATTCCCAGAACAAACATGCTCATGAAAAATAACAAAGTTTTACCTGTAATTAAAAATTTCTACTCAATATTACTGCAATGTTTCTGTTATTTTTACGTTTTAGGATGGTACGTACGTACAATCACCTAGTAGCAAACTAACGTATGGTACGATGATATTCGTACGAGTAGTTTTAGTGCAGGATGCTGCAACGTATTTAAAAAAAGCCGCTATTATTGCTACAAGATACAGTGCTATCCGGCACCAGTCACAAATAAATCCGAAGTAAGTTGGTTTTCGAAAATGAAAGCTCGCTTTTAATGTAATTATTCTATTTAACAGTGAACCCGAGGTACAAATATTAGATTTTGTCACTCAGCAGTATAAACTACTCCCTTATATTTCTATGTGCTTCGCTTTCCAATACACCGCAAATTGGTTATGGGATATCTACAACAACGTCACCGGAGAACTAGAAAGTGGACAATTGAACAATTTGCCAGAAGTGAGTGTAGTATAAATATCGAGCCTTTAATTTAATTTTATTTTGTTTATACTTCAGCTCCACGCAGCGTCTTGTGTCTTGAAAGCCGTGAGCAGTGCTGACGCAGCACAAGGCGTAGAAACGCTTCGCTTGGCTTGCGGCGGTCACGGTTACATGACATCTTCAAACCTGCCAAGGACATATGGACTGGTCACGGCAATGTGCACTTATGAAGGTGAAAATACTGTGCTGCTGTTGCAGACCGCTAGATTTTTAATTAAAACCTGGCAAAATAAAACTAATATTGGTAAATTGCCAACTGTAAAGTATTTAGAAACGTCCCTTCACAGAAAAATTCCATTTGAAAAATCCGCGAAGTGGATCATATCGGCTTTGCAGCAGACAGCGGCAGGGTAAGTTAATTCCAAATAAGTATTCAGTGTTTTTCTAACGTGTTATTTTTCAGGAAAATCAACCTAGCCAATCAGCATATAAATGAGCGTGTCAAAAAAGGACAATCGCAAGAAGACGCTTGGAACAACACTTCCATTGAATTGGCAGCTGCAGCAGAACTACACGGTAGAATGTTTATAGTTGAAACTTACTACAATACTGTTAATAATTTAAAGAAGCAGACCTCGCGAGAATTGGGCATAGTTCTTCAGCAACTTTTAGAGCTTTATGCTGTTTATACAATCCTCAGATCAACAGGAGATGTTTTAAGGGTATGTACAAATTACCTTAAAGGACACTTTTAATTATTCCGTTTTATAGTTTACAGATGCACTTGGTAGAGACATGGAAGCACTCCAATTGTGGCTTGAAGAGTTATTAGCAGCGATACGTCCGAACGCAGTTGCATTAGTTGACAGCTTTGATATACGTGACGAGGTCTTATCGTCAGCTTTAGGGGCTTACGATGGAAACGTTTACGAGAGGTTGTATGAAGAGGCACAGAAAAGTCCTTTAAATCAAGAGCCAGTGAACAAGTCCTTCCACATGTACCTCAAACCTTTCATGCAGTCTAATCTTTAGGTCGTTTTCGGAGGAAACGGGGACCAAATTTATTCGTCTAGTTCTAGTTAATCGTGTGCAAATTTTAATATTGTTATGTTTTATATGTATGTTGAACAATGTTTTGTATAATGAAGTAGATGGTCGTAGATTGATCAAGAAATTATTTTTTTTTACTTTTTTTTCCATATAAACTGATTATCTTGTTCTAACAGTATATTTGAGTTCATTGCAAAAGTGTAATAAAAGTATTGTCTTTAATCCCTCCGTATATTGTATTTTTTTAAATAAAATATGTCCAATGTTTTTTTTTGTTTTTTTCTCAATTTCGAGGAAGAGGCATGAAGTGAAAATATTCAAAGGAGGAGGGCTGAAAAAAATTTTTATTAATACCTATTAGCAATACTGAATCGTTTCCACCCTAAACGGACCAACCCCTCACCCTTCTTTCCTCCTCCACCCCCTTAAATGAGACGACACACATTTACATTGAATAAAACGAAAATGAGAAAATCAATAATTATACATTCATGTTTGTGCATATTTGATTAGCCACCTTGAATTTCGTGATTCTGGATTATGATCTTTTTTAAAGATTCCTCTAAGCGATGGTTTCCCAGCATTTAAGGGGGTTGGTCCGTTTAGGGTGGAAACGATTCAGTAATGCTATTAAATTAATTTTTTCAGATTTTTCCAGCCAAAAACCGGCCTTAGGGGCCCTCCTCCTTTAGTGGAATGGTTTCGTGAGAACTTAAAAAAAAAAAAATTGGAATGCTTTGGCTGCAAGGGGATAAGTGGGGAAAATAATTAAAAATAAAAATAAAAATTTGGAATACACGTTTAATAGAGTAAAAAAATATCACTAAACAATACACTTTATATAAAAAGCTTTAATTCACGATCACATTACCGAAAATATAATATCAAGCTGCTGAAAAATACCATAATAAAATCAGTTCGAGAAGTAAAAATAGAATTTAAAAACGAAAACCGCATTAACAAACTGTATTTTTTATCTAACAATTTGTATTATTAAATTTGAAAATTGAGACATCGATATTTTAATTATAAAAATTTATAAAGGCTCATTTATTACGTGTCTACGCGTTCGTTAAAATATGGCTACTTTAAGTGGCGTGGTTACAATAAAAATAGATGTAATAGGTATATCTACTATTCTATCGATATAGGCACGTTTTAAATGAGCTGATACTACATATATAAGATTTGTAAAAATTGTTTACAATAAAAAAATTATACCTAACACAATCTAATAATGTATTTATCGATGAATGTACGCTTAAATATAAACACTTTTATAAATCCGTTATAATAATCTATATGCACAATTCATATTATATTTACAAAAAAATAGATAAGATACAAGTATGCATTATTTCATATTAAACATAATTAAAATAGTAACGTACAAATCACTGGACGTGAAGACGATTCCACATTAAATAAAGTTCCGGCACAGATCACTATTTCTCATATACACGACTGACAAATGTCAAAATACTTAACGGACTTTTCCCTACCAAAAATCGCCAAAAATAAATTAATTAATAAATTAAGGTAAGTAGCCCAGACCGTACAACCTTAAACTAATCATTTAACGAGAAAATCTCCCATTATTGCCCACATCAGTTTTCACAAAATATAACTCCTTTCTTTAATATGCCAAAGGGCTCCAAAATATAATAATAAAATATTTAATAAAGATGTGTCACGGACATGTCGTGAAAAGTGGACATGTTCTGAGGACACTTTTTAAAATTGAAAAGTTGTATGCGCATGCGCCGAATTATTTGTTGCATTCATAATTCCCGCAGAAAATTTTTGGTGGTACATGTTGGTACATGTAAAATTAAAGATATTAATTTTCCATTTTCTTGTAATTTTGTTGGTAATTGTTTAACTGAAACTGACATTTTAAAAATATAACCTCTTTTATATGTCCATATTTTATTATTTTTTGTCAAAGTTGACGATTAGTAAATAGTAATCAGTTGATTCTTAATTTAATATTTAATACTCAAATAGTTTATAAATGAAGTATGACGCCAAAATCAACAGTTTGGTTATATTTTTCTGAATCGAATAAATATCATTATAAATGTAACTTCTACTCAAAAACAATTTTTAAGAATTCCAGTAGGATGGAAAAACATTTAAAAAAGTGTATTGGCTGTTCGGGGAAAATTAGAAACCAGTCTAAAAGTCTAAATTCAAGGTCAAAAGTACTTTTCCCGACATGTCCGGACATTTCATCGACATGTCCGTAACAAAGTTTTCCGAAAGTGCCCATCTCTAATATTTAAACATGTTTTCTTTTGTTGTTTTCTTCTTTGCTCACGTTATACCTAAATTACCTTTGTTTATTAAAGATATGGCAATGTGAGGGTGATTTTCATCAGTTTGAGATTCCGCCTACGGCAGTGTCGTTTTAAATACTTTCCCAACCGTTCCGAATAGAAAACCCAAAGTAAATATTTATGTTATATATCAGTCGAATACATGTAGAACAAATGTCCTATTAATTCTACTTTAAACTAGGCTAACCGGACCGAACAAAAGTGCGCTACAAAATTGCGCCACGGCGCGTATACACTGTCCTTGTCACGTCCCATCAGCGTAGCGAGGCACTCGGAAAGGAAACTAGCAGCCGCTGGAGGGTAAGTACTCATCCAATCACAGTCACCTGATCGTGCGCCATATCACAGTATAACACGCTCGAACACACAAACATGCTTTTTCCGCACTAGTCTAACTGCAACAGAACACGTTTAGTCCATTGCAACAAAAACGATAATTTTTAAGAAGACAAATACCCATGGTAATTATTTTGAACCGTATCATCGGACGAACTTCGAAAATTAACAAATCAAAACGTATTAATGAAAAATTACTCGGCCAATTTTCGTGAAAAGCATGTATGTGTACAATACGCATGGAATCAGGGCGCCAAGGTTCTGGGCAGCAGGGGATCAGGTGACTGATTAGGTCAGCAGGCAGAAGTTTCCTCCCCTCCCAACGTGTATGCCACACTGTCCAATTTCTGGGCCAGATGCAAACGCCTGCAGTTTGGATCCGTTGTCAGCGCTTCGAGAATCTGCAAAAAAATACACCCATGTAGTTGCAATCTTGGTGCACCAACGTCAAATTGATTTCTATACATTTCAAAATTCAAATACTTTTAGAAACTTTCATCTCCTAAGAAATTAAAGCGACAATTTCTTTAACAGTTTATCTTAAATATATAATTTCCTGACCATATAATTAATTCTTGAAAGTTATTAATCTTCTGGCTTATTGGTCAAAGTAAATAATTTTCCTTTTAACAATTGTTTATTACGATCGTTTTGGGGTTTATCCCATCTTCAGATGACATCACAAAACATGGATAATTTTTATTTTTTTTTTATTTTTTTTCAGAGAAGAAAAAGGGTAGTTTTGAAAAAACTGTTTTTTAAGTTATTACAGAGTGCACAGAAGCATATGACGGAAAAGCCGAATCGTGCTGAAAACAATTGGATTTTGTTTTCTTCGATGTCCGGAAGGTTGTCCAAAAAAAATAAACATCAAACATTTCAAAAAATTTTCTGAAAATTTCGATTTCGAAACTGCCCTTCAATTCTCTGTACGACCATTTGTCGCCGAGATATCAATGACTGAACACAAAATGATCCTTTTCCAATAAAAGTCCGATATTTCGATGAAAAATGGTCGTATCGAAATTTTAAAAAATCGAAATTAAAGCCGAATAAACAAGCTATCTGGTCCATGCAATGGCTCAGCTGAAAAAATGTTTTCCAAGTCCGTTTCCAAGAAAAAAAAAAAAAATTTGTCGCACTATTTCTTAAAAATGCATGATTACCGTAGCTTCTAACAAATTTCGACCAAAAGATCTAAAAACTAGAATCTTAGAGCTTCAAAATGCTTTTTTTTTAATTCCTGATAATTTTTCACCTAAATACAGTCTGTCAAAAATCACGGAAAAATTCCGGAAATTCTTTTGACCCTTTAATTTTTTCCATCAGTTTATAAGGTTTATTGATATAATTTGTTAAATTTTTTTTAATATTTTTAGAATGTTTTGGAATGTACGGTAACGAAATATACATATTACTTTTTGAATTATTACTATTATTTTTGTAATTATGATTGTAAATACCATGAATTATTTTCTCAATGATTGGGTTATAATTTTTTTTGGATAATTATTAATTTCTAACATTTTTAATTTTTTTTTATATTTTTCGGTCTATTTTTTGGATGTGATAATTTTATCGCACAGTCGGTTAAACCATTTATAACACATTTTTTAAAGTATTTGGTTAAAATTTAGATATCTTTTACACCAAATTTTTTTTAAACCAATTTGTTTAAATTTTGACATTATTATAGGAAATAGTGTATTGCATATTGTGTATTCCAAAAAACAAAATTGATTTACATAAGTAATGAATTTAATAAGTTTCATCCTAGATTAGTTTTCAACTGAAATAGAAAGAAATAGTAGTATCAATTTTCTTGATTTAACTATTTCCTATAATAATGGCAGACCCAGATTTTCTATAAAATGGACTTAGTTTGAAACTCAAATTACTTTTCGGTGTAAAGAAATTTGTAATTTACGATGCCGCTTGTTCAAAAGCGGAAATTACAAATTTCTTTACAAAAAAAAGAATTTTAGTTTCTGACTAACTCCATTTTATAGAAAATCTGCGTTAGAATGGAGGAAAGTGTTATTTGTGCATTAATTCATATTTAGACAAACTGTGTAATAAAATCTATAAAAATGTACTGGTGGTTGGCTATTTGCTATAGAGCCCTCTTAATATCTGTATATATCACAAATATTCAACATATCTATCAGACTTCAAAAACTTTCTCGCAAATTTTTACAAATCATTTAAAATTTGAACCATTCAAGAAATGCTCACTAACCTAAAGACAATTAGTAAGAGTGAATACACAAGTGTTTTTAAGTACAATTGTCATTATTTTTTCGTTATCATGTTCATATACAAGTTATTTTAGAATTTGGCAATCTGAAGGACTTTGGTCGGCGGTTATTTCGGTTATATTTATTTTTAACTAACAAACATCTTTATTATTGTACTTACTGGCTCTCTATATTTTGTTACATAGATGTAGAGTTCTTTCAAAGCTGCCACAGTATCGAACTCCTCGGCCTGTTGCGCAGACAACTGCTGCATCGCAGATCCCATCTCTTGGTCAGTTATAACCGGCAACATCGCGACATCGCTGTAAAATTGCGCCACCATTTCCCTATATCTCGGTATATCCTAAAAATTAGAATAGATTACAACAACATTACATTTTTTAATCGAAGGTTGGTACCTTGGCGAAAAGGAGTTTGTTTGAGGGCGAGTCCTTTCCAAGGCGGTGTTCCGTGGTAGAGCAGGAGTCCATAAATGTCTGGGCTATGACGGACAAACAAGAATCCAACGTCGTGGTTTTATTTATATCAAAAATAAAGTCGGGATTCTTAATAAAATTAACCCAAAACCTTAGAGGAAGACTGTTAGATTTCCAAGCGTGCACGACCTCGGGATCTTGTATACCGTGTTTCCTAGCCGCGTCGTCGAGAAGATCGAAAAGCCATTTAACGGCCGGCGGTAACGCCTCGTTCACCGTTAGGATCGTTAGAAAAAAATCGTCGACAAATTTCTGAATGGTGCCTTTAGTGGATAATAGTCTCGTAAGAAATATTTCCGGAATAGCTTTATGCGTACGCTCTATCAACTTATTGTTCGGAAACTGGTGATCTTCGATCGGCTTGACCAAGTGGTAGATTCGAGGGTTGTTCCCGGTTTCAATGTCACCGTTCGTAGTAATAATAGGGGACTGGGAATTGTTCAAATACATTCCCGTGACGCAATTATGGCAAGGTTGTTTACAATTATTAAAGCTATCGTTTTGGCGGGAGATTAGAGACATAACCGCGCTTTCCTTAACACCGTAATGTGCCAACGTATTCAACTTTTTCCAACCGCCGATGGTCTTAGTGGTTAGATCTTCGTCTTGCAGCGTTAAGTGACCGCCGCGGCCGTGCCTCCATTCCAAGTCTACTTCGTAGATGGAGGGGCGCAACGAGAAGGGGGTGTTCTTGAAGAGAGCGTCTAGAATTTTTGATTTCACCTGACTGATGGTATCACAGTCTAACACTTTGCACTGTATCTTCTCGTCGAGATCGTCCTGGACGATATGCAACGTCTGAAGTAAAAAAAAAATATTTTAAATTATTGGTTTTATATCGGGTGTCCAAAAAGTCTGAAAACGCCTGAATAATTTCCCAGGTAAATTATTTTTGAAAAATGTTAAGGTCATTCTTGTAGTAACTTTGGACCTTGGATTGGACCTAGAGGTTATTTCAAGGTCACCTCCATCTCTTTTTGAAATGGAAACCCCTTATTTCGACTTCGGCAATCGAAAGAGCGGGAAATTTTATGTCCAAAAACTTAGGTCATAAATCAGGGTTGACCTTGAAGGTCATTCAAAGGTTATTTAAATTTGAGGGCTGGATATTTCCAAAGGACGCAGTTGATGAAAATAGTACAAAGCTCACTTTAGTTATTTTGTTTAAATGCAATTAGTGGTGACCTCAAACTCGACCTTCTTGTGTCCTTCAAGATCGTTTCAGGGTCAAATTTTTTAGCATTACCTAGGAACGACGTGGAGGTAGTAATGCTAAAAGTAGAAGTATGAAAACTTCCACTCTTTCGATTGCCGAGGTCACGATATTCAGAAAAAAAAATGACCTTGAAATGACATTGAAGGGCACCGAGAAGGTCAAGTTTGAAGTCACCACTAATTGCAATTAAACAAAATAACTAAAGTGAGCTTTGTACTATTTTCATCAACTTTCCTTGGAGATATCCAGCCCTCAAATTTAAATAACCTTTGAATGACCTTCAATGTCAACCCTGATTTATGACCTTAGAGTTTTTGGATGTAAAATTTCCCGCTCTTTCGATTGCCGACGTCGAAAAAGGGGGTTTGCATTTAAAAAAATGGAGGGGACCTTGAAATAATCTCAAGGTCAAAAGTTACTACAAGAATGACCTTAACATTTTTCAAAAATAATTTACCTGGGAAATTATTCAGGTGTTTCCATAGTCTTTGGATGCCCTGTATATAAATTTATACATACCACAAAGCTATGTTCGACGTTTTCTCTTAGAAGTCGCTCCTCAGACAGGGAATATCTAGCATCGTGTGTTATGGCATCGACGAGTCCTTTTTCAATTTGGTGTTTGATGGCTTTGAATAACAAAAATAAGGAGGAACCCGCGTATTCCTTGAGATAATGGTACATACAGAGAGCCATCCAGTTCGTCAACATTTTCTCTACCACACTTTCCGTTCTTCTTAACATTAGTTGTGGGTGTTTCGTATTTACAGACTTATCTATTAAACGCAATAATAAACTTTTTAGAATATCCGTTGCATATTCCATTTTACTCATTAACACTACCATTAGTAAGGACGCTACGTTTACTCTAAAAAAAAAGCACCAAAATAAATTTGCGGGTATTTACGGAAGAACGAACATACTTATTCCTAATATTAAAAGACTTCTGGGATTCTAAAATTTCTATAAAAGTCAATATAAAATATTTGTTATTGATTAGTTGCTCGAACTGAAGCATAGCCGTGTCATAGTTCGTTCTCGGGCCGTTTATCCTGACCTAAAACACGACAAATTCAATTTCGTAACTTAAAAATAAACGAGTACCAACCTTAGGGGCGTTTAAAATCGGGTGGTCACTAACGCCGGGAAAGAAAACTTTCATAATGTAACTGGTGTGGTCCAGGGTCGGAATACCGGAATTTTCCAAATCGGCGGTGAGATCAGTCATATCCGTTTGCAACTCTGCGAAAGCTATAAAACGATCGTTAACCGAAAACTTAACAAACCCACAGTCTCTTACCTAGTTTGCATTCAGACCTAACGTTGCTCTCCAAAGTATCCATCTGAATCTGGATCCTCTTGTATTCCCTCTCTGCTTGCGTGGATTTCCTTCGGTACACGAACAAAACGGCAACGAAAAACAGTACGAATAATAATATACCCACGGCTATCATTATTATAGCTTCCGGGGGAAAAGCGAAAGTTTTAAATATGTCGTAACGGAGATAACCTATAGGAAACCTTAAACTCTTTCCTACTCTAACCACGACCAGGGGAAGGTTCATTTCAGTCTGAAAACCAACAAACTAGAAACAACATTTATGGTACAGTCGCTTTAACTTACCTTAAATCCATTCTCATCGGTGTCCATAGGCTGTTGCTCGGGCGGGGAACACACGAGTTGGGTCATCGCCAAACTGGTGACGTTACACGGTTTCGTGCCAATCGTGACCACTACGTCCGCCTCGTCGCTAGCCGAATTCAAGTTTTCACCTTCTATAACCAGTGTATCGCCTTTGTACAGTTTAACTTGACTGGGGAATTTAAAGAACTTCGGATCTTCGACGTACAACAACTGAAACCGCAGATTCGGGAAGTGCTTTTCCAAATCCCTCACCGACTGAACGTTATCCATGAGAAAGCCTATTTTTAGCGTTAATTTGGGCTCCTTCATCTAAAATTCATCACGCATTAAGAAAAAAATTCTTAAGAGGGCTCTACAGCAAATAGCCAACCACCAGTACATTTTTATGAATTTTATTACATTGTTTGTCTAAATATGAATTAATGCACAAATAACAGACTTTCCCCCATTTTAACGCAGATATTCATTCATATTTAGACAAATTGTGTAATAAAATTTATAAAAATGTACTGGTGGTTGTCTATTTGCTTAATTTAAAACAGTGGGTACCTTTATAGCGGCCGGTTTACGAAGCGACCTCTTGCTTCTACTGCTGTAAGACAAAAAGTGGCGGTTCACCGGCGGACTGGGGCATTCCATTTGCGTAGCACTTAGCACGGTACAAATCGTCCGATTTATCGGCACGCTAGGCTCCGTGTACGAATAAATCTCCATCTCGGGCTTCTGTATGCTGTCCAAGTTCGTGCCGTGCACGAAGATCATCTTCCCGCCCGACACGAAACTGTTCAGAGGCTTGATTTCCATGATCGTCGGGTCCTGCGTGTAGTTAAAAGGATTTCCTTCTAAGGTGCGGTTAGCGCCATCTATACTCAGAGTTAGTTTGGCTATATTCGTCGGCCTTTGCGCTTTCGAGGTTATGCACGTTAACCGCCCGCTCGACGCTTGAGTCAGGTTAACCTGACACAAATACTCGTCTAGGTACGCCGTTATCTCCGAGCCGATGTTCAAATATTGACCGGTTATAGCCAATTGCGTACCGCCGGACTGCGGGCCGATGGAAGGGTATATTCCGGAGAGCCTGATGTCTTTGTAACTGAATTCGACGGAGGATTCCGTGAAGCCCGCTTCGTTGCCGACTTTTATAGGCGCTGTCATCTCCGCTCGGGAAGGGCCGGTGACGCATTGAATTTTAACGGACACCTCGTAGTTCACCAGGACGCAGGGGACTTGGCCTATTTTTATCTTCCCCAACACGTCTTCCTTTTTAAGGCCTAAATTACTACCTTCTATTGTTACTAACGTTCCGCCTTCGATGGGACCGCTCAGAGGTTTTATCTGAACAAACAAAAATTGTTTTAGTAGGATGAAGATCAATAAGAAATAAAAAAAATACAATTTTTAATCCTTAGCCAACGTTTCGGAGTTGTTTTACACCATCTTCAGGACTTAAAATTTTATACGTCTTTAACTGCAATACAGAAGACAATAACTAGATAGTCTTGTTAAAAGACATACATATATTCTATTATTAGATCTCGTATTGGTTACTCTATAAATAAAAATAATTCATACAAATATGTACAATTTTTTTTTCAAATCCTATCAAATGAAATCAGTGTTCGTCGATACCAGAAATCTAGATAACTAACCGCATAGGCAAGATTCCTAACTGGTGATATTACATGAAACTACTAATCTATTCCCTAACTGTCGAAAAACACGGTTTGATTTCATTTGATACAATAAGGTTGTTCCTTAAATTCCAAAAATTGAATTTGCTATTATTTTTCAGTAGTAAAAGCTTATACATTTACTTTCATTTACTTACTTTTCATAAAAAATGGATCACAAAGGAACAATATCAAAATAAAATTTAAACATTTTCTGTTCTAAAATTATTTCTCTCGCTGTGACGTCAACTCGTATACATGCGCAATCCAGACATAAACAAAATGCACAGAAAACTATTTGACATCATGATTCATGACAGTTTTGATAATTTGAGGTTAATTGCACAAACCTAGTAGATCTGTGGTATTTATTATTTTATAGTGAGTGTGGTAGTGATAACCGATAAGTATGTTGTAATTTTTCATACTCTCCATGTTAATTAAAATTATAACAAGCAAAAATAACACACAAAAACACAACCTGTCACCAGCACAACAAATAGTTCTTGTTGTAAATAAATAAATACTGATAAATTGACAGAAAATGTGACTGTTCCAGCAATGTCAGAATAGCCATCTGAACTTGTTATACCAACTTAAATTTCAAGCGTAATGCGCATGCGACATAGTTGACGCCTTATAGAAAAGGAAGGAAAATGTTCATAATTTAAAGTTGTATATCTCAGTTAATATTAGTAAAAACAAAATTCTGAAAAAAGCTATATTAATTTTGAAACATGCTGAATTCAAATAAATAAAAATATATATATGTGAGACGACCCTCTTTAAAAAAATAATTTTTGAATTTGAATTGAAATTTAGTAAAATAGTCAAATATTAGTTAAAAAACTATTGGCAATAATACAGTCATATTCAACACTATCATTTGAAAATGTAAGTTTAATTTATTATCGATCTTCATGCTACTGAAGCTGATATTCATAACTTCAATCATGAGCAGTTTATTGAAAAAAAAAAAAAATTGAAATTATGCAAGCAAGAAAGCTGCGACATTTTTTCTTACCATGTCGATTCTGGGACGCGGGCACTCGATATGGGGAGTGTGCTGACAACTTTCCGCATACTGACAAGAATTCTCACACCAAGTGCACTGGTACTTGGAATTTCTTGTGACGCACAACGAACAATCGGCGTGTTCCCTATGCGACCCCAAAATATCACATTTATACAAAATAACATTGATTGAATCCACGTGGTGATTACGATTCCATACAACTTTAACGCTCGCCTCGTTCTCTCCCTCGTTAGCTTCGTACGAATACTAAAAAAAATATTAAGTAAATTCTTAGGAAGGAAACACTCGTCCAATAATTTACCGTTGTTTTATCACAAACTATGACGCTTTTCCCTTCGACTCTAGCCGGAACTAACATTGTAGCACCCTCGATGACGATTATACACTGGAAACCTGTATGCCCTGGTTGTGGGTGCGGCAAGTTTTTAACATCGAACACGATTTCTTTAAGTACATTGTTCGGCAGTAGTATAACGTCTCGTTTTTTGAATTGCGGACAGTACGCGAAGCCATGATTTGCCAAACGAATCGGATTCTAAAACAAGTATAAAACCAATACAAAAGAATAATAATAAAACAGGTTTACTTACGTTTTCTCCGCTGATAATGCTCCGTTGACATGTGGAAATGTTATGCATACATTTATTTTCGTAAACGCACCAATTGCAAGCCCACTTCGATCGAACGCACTCTCCACAAGTTGCGTGTTTCTCGCAATCGTAGTAGGCAAAGTTCCTTGAAACGAAATCCTTGTTCGTTTCCGAAGATCTTACACTGAGCGGTACTAAGACGTGGTCCATCTTCGGCGGTATCCTAGGACGTCTGGATATTTCCGGGGTGAGACAAGACAGTCCGAATTCTGTTACCTCGGCATCGATCGGCTCGGCAGAGCCGAACACGCACTTGTATTTAGCGCCATACGGAAGTTCGGGGAGAGTTCTTATGGTTAAGCGGACGTTTGTCATTTGATTGATCGGTATACGTTCCGGAAGAACCTGCTCGAAATCAATGCACTGCTGGCCCGTCCCCAGAGAGAGCCAGCGTGGCGCGCTGTGGGAGGCTTTCTGGCAAGCGCTGCGGATTGTACACCTACACAGGAAGGCAAGAATTACCAAAAACGACCTTTAATTAAATAATGACCAAACTGACCATACTATGAAGTTTTAATTGTCAGTGTTGCGAGAAACAACTACTCCGAGAGACTATAAAGTGTTTAAAATAAAATAGTGGGAGATACAAAAAAAATTAGGTGCCCGTAGTTTTCATTGCTAATAATTCCGACTTACCTTTTCTCTAGAGAACACCATCCACAATAGGGGTCTTTGGATTCAAGACACGAAGAACAGTTGCTGTACGTACTGCAATGTTCCACATTAATTTTGGAAATCTGGAATAAGGAAACAATATTTAAGAAAATTTGTAAAATTAAAATATTTAACATTAAGTTATGTTGCGTGTCTTACCTTGGCAGTCGAGAGAACATAGAGGTAGTCACCCGAGGGTGACAGAATCGTATCTGGCAAAATACTGTTCCCCTTGTCGACGACAACTTCTTCATACTCTGGCGGTTCCGGTCCGGAAAGCAGCACCTTTTTTATTTTGCCGTCTGTTGTACCTAGAAAAGCCAAAACGTGCCTTCCCGTGGACGCAGTCGTCACGGAGGATAGAGAGGTGTTGGGAAAAGTGAGAGCCGCCGTCGTAACCAAAGGTGTCACCCCACTGATTTTCAGTCCAACTTCACAGAAGTTAGGAATATTCCCGGCCGACCCGCTATTAGGACACTTACCGTCCAGAATCGGACCGGACACATACCCCATATTGCGGTACTTAACGCTACCGTTAAAGCACATGTGGATGTTTTCGATAAATTTCCCTTCAATGTCCCTTAATGGGTACAAGCATAGTGCCGAGTAGTTCTGGGGCTCGTTGGTGATTCCCTTGGCGGGTCGGAACACCGCTACTAACACCGGAGAACCCACCGATATACCTAACGCTGTGGCTAGTTCCTCTCCGGCAAATGCGATCTTAGCATCTTGCACTAAGTTGTATTTCATATCCGAATCGGTGCATTGCAGTGTAACCTCCGTGTAACTGTCGTAATTCGCATCGTTGATGCAGGTCCTCGACAACCTGGAGACGTAACCTTGTTCCTCTTGACCGGGCAAATGTGACTGTTTCTGAACGATAACGAAATACGCATAGTCACTAGCATTGAAACCGTATACGTATTGTACGATAAAGTGATCTCTATACTTAACGTCAATGCTCAAAAGGGACTGCTTGCTAAACGAATACTCTGCTATTTCTAGCGAATCCAGGTCCCGACTCGCTATGGCTGGAACGTCGTGTCTATACTCTCCATTGTTAGTGAAGGTGGTTCCTACATAGAGAATATTCGAACGTCCCCATAAATTGTATTTCTTAGGGCCTATGTAGGCGTAAGTGGAAGCATTGGCGTCATTCGCCGCTATGCTCTTCGGGATGAAATCGGCCTCGGCACTGATATTACTCAGCTTATACTTGTAGCAAGCGCCTTGGGAGAGAGACCCGCAAGCGATCAAAGTCCTAGACTCGGGCTCTATAAGCAGAATCTTGTTGTAGTTGTCCATCAACGAAACGGGGATGCCGGGGTCGCTACACCCCGTCGCGTGGCACAGGGGACTGTCATTCTTCGGGCCGGTGGTCACTAGGTGTTCCAGGCGCAAGTCCGGGTCCAACTGGAGGATGTGGTTGGTCCCTCCGACGTAAACTCGCTTGGTTTTCTGGTCCACGGCCATGTGAGTGAAACGCATGGGGGGATCGGCGGGGCCAGGGTAATGCGCTAGCAGAATGCCTGCAGAAGCGCGCCCCCACAGCCCCGCTAGAAGCAGCAGCCAAATGCCTGCCACGGTGCGGCCCACCGTTGCACCATGAAAGGGTTTTACCACCATGAAGACGCCCGGTGCATGCTCCTAGCCTTGGTGATGGCGTGCACCGAATCCACTTCGTTCCGCATCCACATCACTGAAATGAACAGACGCCTTCATTTATTACAAATTAACAACAATTACGAAATAATGCCGGTGAGATATAACCTACAAAGTATCATAACGATTAGTTCATAAAAAAGTCTTTGACGTTTATAATCAAATTTCAAATTAAAAAAAAAAAAAAAACCTACTTATTTAAATTAACTAATTCCTTTAACAGAAATATAAAAAATAAATATATATTTTTAAGAAATAAGCATCTACATTTTCTTTACGACTGAAGGATGCTACCCCCTTAAGATCATTAATAAAAAATTAAGAGCAACAGTGAGCTAAGCTAAGAAATGAACCTTGAAGAACGCCAGAAAAAGCTATACAGGGTGTTTCAGAAAGACCTCCCGTAAATTCAGGGGGTGATAGTACGACAAAATACAAGAATTTTTTGTCTTACGAACTATATGTCTATCACCTCTTGTTTTCGAGATACAGCGCGACAAAATAAATTTTTTTAAATAGAATTATTATGAAAATTTCCAAACGGTGCGAAATATTTTTACTACAGTTACTAACAATCACTAAAATGTTGATATAAAGTTAATTAAGAGTTTAAAATATTACTGAGAATGTATGCGTTGTTTATGAGACATCCATCAATAGGTCTGTTCCAACAAGAGTCAGGGATTGGTTCCCAACCGTTCGAAATGTTTGGCCAGCTAAATTCTAAATGTGTCTTCAGTGAATATATCGCAAGAATTAGTTGGATGCACATTTCTGACGGTTTGGAACTGTCGTAATACAAGTTTTTCGAGCGTTTTCGAAATTCACCAATCTTTCCAACCTGGCTGGAAATGATCATTAATACGTCTCTGCGACAGCCAAGCACGAGATAAGGCATGCTAGACCTACATAGAAAACCCCTAGGTCCTACCATGAAAACGGACACGCGAAAAAACGGAAAGTTGGAATTTTACGCATGTTTCCATTCCCGACGACCTACGACGTTCTGGATAGGCTCGTAAGGATCGTCGCAGTCCAAGTACCAGAAACCCAGTCGAAATAAGACGCGTTTCTAAAGAATCGGCAGTCAGAGCCGATAAATCAAAGATTTACTCATCTTTCTATATTTTGAGCCGCTACAGCTGTTCAATCGTTCCCGGCGACCTACGACGTTCTGGATAGACTCGTTAGGACCGCCGCGACCTAATTCGACAGAAACTAAGTCGAAACCGAAGATAATTCCAGAGGATCGGATGCTAGAGCCGATAAAGTGGAATTTAGCTAATCTTTCTAATTTTCGAGGCGCCACCACCCACTAATGGTTCCCGGCGACCCTCAACCTTCGGAGCGGGCTCATTCGAACCGCCTCCACTCAATTCGGACGAATCAGCCTCCAAAAGGGCAGAATTTTCTATGGATCCGCCACCAGGGGCCGGCAAAGATGTAATTTCGCCGACCTTTCGAAGCGCCGTCCCAGAGCCGTTCCAGAGATGACCAGAGACCCGAAGCTGTCCGCTAACACGCCAACAGGCGTTTATTAATACCAAACTGATTTTCAGATACCCCACAGACACACCTCGAGTCCCCACCGAGTGCAACCCCGAGCCGACGAGGACCAAAATCCCAGTACCCTTTCTGCGGAGACACGCTAGTTCCACCGCCAAAACAAGGGGAGATTGGTCGCCGAATTCGAGAGCGGTCGAACGTCTACTCTGGGCATTTGCAGTCTAATAGGTGGGATTGGAACCCCACTCAGTGTGTGCGCACGTCTCTATTTGAACTCCGATAGCTGTGAAGCTTTTTCATTCCCTATAAGTATTGTAACAAACTGTTCTTACTCCGCTGTAATTCACGCACATGTATGCAAGCGTTTTAAATAAATATATACATTAAATATATACATATATATATT